CATACATATATGCATATAGTTATTTAATTTGAAAATTCTTAGAAAAATCCTTGTGAGTGGCAATCTCATTTGGTTATCTGAGCTTAAGTCAGCATTTGAGTGCTTAATTATATGTATAATACTAGACTGTATTTTTTGGTTTATTTCTTTTCTTAGAAGCTTGATTCTTATCTAATAAAGAATATTTTAAATGTTGTTAAGCCTGTTTTTTTGACTGAGTGAAGAACTTTCAATGTGTGAGTCAAAATTGTCAAAGCCAAGAGGACAAAAAAACCAATGTTGTCATGACTTTCAGGTTGTCATGGACTTTGGTTGGCCCTTTTATTCAGTGCTTTCAATTACAGTTTTGTGAATAACATGCCCATATCATTTAATCTCCTATATTTCTCCATCAATAGAGTAAATTACTATCAGTTCCCATTTCTGTAACTTATGGTATTAGAGTAATAAATCCAAACCTATGGGAACCATTAAACAATTAGAGTTCCCTATAACTCTCTGGGATCATAATGAAATATAATCACACTAGCTCCAAAATATCATCTTTTTCACTGTGAAACTGAATTAGAGCAGCAATGCAAATCCTGCCAGATAACCCATTTTAAAAATCGGGGTATGGGGATTGACCTATAGTCCTATAAAACAGTTATTTCTGCCCTCTAAAAACAAATTTATCACATACCTTGGAAGGCACATACACTTTGGCTTCCTTGCCTTGAACCACTTCAGAATATATATGTGGAGGGGAAAAAAAGTACATTGACCACTTTGTAGGGAGCCCTGATTATATTTCATGGCTGGTTGGTAATAAATAAATAAATAAATAAACCAAGGCAGAACATTAGCATGTTGATAAAGTTAAATATAAGAGGAAGTTCGGGGGGGGGGGAAGAGGAAGTTAAGGGATCTTAATTTTTGTTTTCAATTTTGAATCAATTTAACGATAGTAATAACTCTGACAGCCAATTTCTTATCAATCATTTTTCCTTTTCTTCTTTGCTTCAGAACAGGGATCAGCAAACATGTTCTTAAAATTCTAGATAGTAAATATTTTTGGTGTTGTAGGTACTTATATAACCATTTTAAATGCAATCATTTAAAGATATAAAAATCATTCTTCGCTTGCAAGCAGTACAAAATAGTCAGCTGATTGGAATTGATCCATGGATCACAGCTTGCCAACATCCTCTACAGAACTCTGTTTTGTTCAGATTTGGGAGCTTCACAGAAGGCTGATCTCAAACAGTTGTGGTAGTCTTATTCTCCTTGCTAGTGACTGGTACAGGCGTGGGCTTGGGAGGCATTTCTGGCCCTAGCCATATTAATCTGCTGGGAAAGGTTTCTTCTCTTTTCCAATAGATGTATAAAACATCCTTTTTGGCTTTGGCTGAGATTATACGGAGCTGATAGCATAGAGCTGCCACATAGAAAGACAAGCCTGGAGTCCTGAGATTAGGGAATCTGAGAAATTTGACATTTGGGTCTAGTGAGGAATACTACTTCCTCACAAAAACCCTTGTCTAATGTCTGTTTAATATTTTCCCTGGCATCCATTGTTGTTCATTCTCTGAGTTATACAAAGTATCACCAAATTGTTCTAGTTTTGTTGTTCTCTTTGTTTCCATGGAATGAGTCCTTCTGATGATATGTTGATATTTCTCTACAACTAATCACAGCACTTCAGCTTTGTTGTCTGATAAAGAACTCCATAGATATTCTTTTGTTGCTATGATAACTCTTTAGAGTTTGAGTGGAAAATTCCTAATAAAAAATATTTTCTAAAATTTTCTAAAGCAAAGAATTTTAAATTAACGCCGGTCTGTGTTGTACTTTAAGAAAGTTTGGTTTTCTGAAATACTAGAATACCACCTATGGGAATGAGTAAATGCCTTCTATACATAAACAGGGATGAGGACATAAAGTTTCAGTATATGATCAAGGTTTTAACTTTCTAGCATTATCAATTGGTCCTCATCAACTGGTTGGAATTTTTTTCAGCTAAACATAAAAAATTTATAAATTATGGGATCCCTGGGTGGCACAGCGGTTTGGCGCCTGCCTTTGGCCCAGGGTACAATCATGGAGACCCTGGATCGAGTCCCACATTGGGCTCCCGGTGCATGGAGCCTGCTTCTCCCTCTGCCTCTCTCCCTCTCTCTCTCCCCCTCTCTCTCTCTCTCTCTCTCTCTCTCTCTCTATCATAAAAAAAAATCAACTTTCTAAAAAAAAATTTATAAATTAACAATAACCGTGATTTATACATTATTCTATTTTTTGCACTTATTCACATAAGCTATTCACATAGCTCCAAGCTGTGTCCTTAAACTTTGTATTTCTGGGGGTGAGGACGACAGAGGGGAAGAGTTATATTTAAGATTAAGTCATAATTTTGTGTTTAAATAGATTGCAATTTGCATATAGCATCTAGCACTTATTAAGGGCTTAATAAATGTTAGCTGCATCCCTTCCTTATGAGACTTTTTAGGAGGTAAACAACTTAGTTCTAATTTCAACAAGGGTGTAAGGAGTGTGAAACAGAGAATAATAGCTCGGTAGAGAAATGAGAATGTGTCAGTGGAGCTGCATTCAGGACCATCCCTCCAAAACTGAGAAGGGGAGAGGAACAAGAAAAGTGAATGTAAATAATAGTGAGTGGTGATTTTTGCCCAGATTTGCTCCAAGAATGTATGCCCCAGAGTGAGTGAGAGACAGAAGGGAAGCTGCTGTTTTCTGTACTGCTCTGTATCACTATGCATATGTATAAGGCAGTCTCTCCTTACACAGAGTATTTTTAAGTGTTTAAAGATATTGTATGACTTTGGTATTCAGTTGATCTGCTCACACTTTGAAGGTAAAACTGGTGAGTGTTGAATTTACTAAGAAACCTTAGGTCTCTGTACCATTACATTGCTAGAATAATGTTGACCAAAGGCAAACTTTACCTTTTGCAATGACTTTAGAAACTAACACCTTCATAAAATGGGGTTCCAGTGTAATCTAATAAAGCTGGAGCATAGTAAGCCTATCGAATTGTGATTTTTTTTTCAAATTATGATTTTAAAATATAGTAGAAATGGGGCACCTGGGTGGCTCAGATGGTTGAGCGTCTGCCTTTGACTTAGGCCATGATCCCAGGGTCCTGGGATGGAGCCACATGTTAGGCTCCCTGCTCAGTGGGGAGCCTGCTTCTCTCTTTCCTTCTGCCCTTCCTTGCTTGTGCTCTCTCTCTCTCTCTCAAATAAATAAAATCTTTTTAAAAAATATATAGTAGGAAGTATAAAAGTAAATTACAGATGGTCTTAATTGACAGCATTGAGGGGTCACTAGTTTGAGCTGAAAAAGAACTTGGTAATATCTGTATTTTGAAGTAGTAATTCTCAAACCATGTTCCCATGATTTAAGAAGCTGTACTGAGGATTTCTGTCACTACAATTAAATAATTTAGTAGGTTCCTTATCAGATTTACAGATTTAATGATCAGAATTTCCCAATTTTTTCTCTTACAGTGAGGTAACAAAGGAATGTTCATAGAAAAAGTCAAGAAGTTTAGTTTGGTAGCTTATGTTTTCCATCAATACATGCTAATAATGGCTGTGCTTTTATGTTGCCTGTGTATAAACAGTCACTTTTCTGGTGGCAAATGAGATCTAATTAAATATGTCAGTATTTCATGGCAAATTTTGTTAAACACCATTAAGAATTTAGATAAACTCTTGCCTGAACAAGTGTGACAGCCTTACTTAAAATGATGAAAGACTGAAGACTTGGAGATCAGTCATCTTAAATCTTTTCTGTCCTTAATTTTGTATTTGGTGGGTATATACAAATGCTTAGAATAATCTGCTAGCATATATTTGAGAATTTACTCCCTTAAGACGAGCTTTCTAGAAGACCCAGAAGATCTATATAATGCAATCCATACTCTCAATAGCCATAACAAAACCTAGCCTAGTGTTAATAGTATTAACTTTACATGGGTATTCAGAAAGGCAGTAATCATCAAGCCTTTAGGTAATCAAGACTTCTTAAGAAAGATGAAAGTTGCACTGAATTACATAATCCAGAAAGATGAAGGGTTTCTTTGAAAGAAGCAGTATGTACAATGAACATGGGCTTTGGTCTGTTTGGAATAAAAGGTATTTACTGGGGCATCCTGGAAAACAGGTTTGATTAAATTATGAAGCTGATCCCAAAGTTGAATGTTATCTTAAACAGTCTTCAAACTAGCTAAATTATTCTTCCTTGTTAAGTGTTCAAAGTTTTAAAATGGAACATTTTAATCTTTATTTTTGGGTGATTAAATGTATTTGTAATTCAGTGAGGGCATTCTATTAAAACTATTTACTAAAATTAGAAAAGAAATGTGGGGCACCTGGATGGCTCAGTGGGTTAAGGCTCAGGTCATGATCCCAGGGTTCGGGGATCGAGCCCCACATCGGACTGCCTGCTCAGTGGGAATCCTGCTTCTCCCTCTTTCTCTGCCTGCTTCTCTCTCTGCCTGCTGCTCCTCTGCTTGTTTTCTCTCTCTCTCTGTCAAATAGATAAATAAAAATCTTTTTAAAAATGTAATTAGCTATTTTGATTGTCTTTGCTTACATATTCTGTTGTCTTTATTTTACGGAAGCAAGTTTGGTAAAACCCATTCATCCAAAAGAATTTCATGTGTATCTTAGATGTGGCAGGCAGTGAATGTCAGAGTCCCAGCCCTAGAGACCTTACATTCTAGTTGTTGAGTGTAGTGGCAGGAAGTGGAAGACAGACAGGAAGACAGTCATTCCGAGAGGGGATGAGTATATTGTAATTTTCAGTAAAGGGGTCAGAAAAGGATAAGTAAGAAACTGATATTTTTTCAGAAGCGGTAAACAAAAGTTAATAGTAAATAGTCTGTGGCATTTTTCAAAACACCTTGACAATTTATTTTTCTCATAAGAATGTATTTGCTAGGGTGTAAAATGGAATGAGTAGATACTCAATTGTGTGCCCACCCAACGATTTTTCAGATGAATGCACTGGACACCCTTGGTCAGACTGCTTTGCATAGAGCCGCGCTAGCAGGTCACCTGCAGACCTGCCGCCTCCTGCTGAGTTACGGCTCTGATCCTTCTATCATCTCCTTACAAGGCTTTACAGCAGCACAGATGGGGAACGAGGCCGTGCAGCAGATTCTAAGTGGTGAGTTAAAATAAATAAACAGTACGTTCTGTGCTTCCCGTTTCATGTCCACTGATAGAAACAGACAAATTTTGCACTACTCATTTTAAGGAGCTCTTTGGAACGCTTTCTTTGCCTGAATATTTTTCATAACTTTCCTTGTTTGCAGTTTAGCCCGAGCCCCCCCCCCCCCATCAACCTTTTTGGTGGAGTGTGAGGTAGGTGTCATGAGAAGGAAACATACTCTTTTTTTTTAGTTTTAAATTGAAAACCAGACTCATGAGTGTTATGATCAAAGGAGACTTAAAGCTCATAGAAACTGTGGAATTATGGCAGCTCTAAAACCTATCAAATAGAGAAAACTAGAAATCATTCATCTGGTAATGGTCTTCAATTAATTGTTCTTACATATGTGATAATCTGACCTGCTTTTTTTTATAATTCCTAACTTCATTACACCATTATGAGATTATCTTGGTTTTTTTCTAGCTTAAATATAATTATAAAATCTTGCTGAATATCAGTGCCTACCTAATACAGTATTAGATATTTTAGCTATTTAATTGATTGAGGGAGGTCAAACACAGAACTGACATGAAAGTATATTAGTTTCCCAAGCCCCCAAATTAGAGGAAATAACACAGTCTTGCTATTAAAAAATGGTGAGCTACATACAAAATTATTGGTATAATTGACTCTTGTTTCCCATCCCTTTCATTCTATCTGTGGGTTATATCTGCTCTAGGACATAACAAACTGGAAGAGTAAAATGGAGAAGGAAGCCTTAGAGACTAGGAATCTGAAGTCCTAGTTACTTTCTTCTGCCTATAACCCGGATTTCTTTACTCCATCAGATACAGTGCCCTCCCCCCTCTTGTCATAATGAATATTTTATAACATCCCCTTTCCTTATCCAGAAGTGAAATTTACAGATACTGTGGCCTAACTGTATACTTACCTTCTAAAAACTCTATATTAAATGCCTTAACTAAAATATAGAGGGAAAGTGAGAGTAAGTTGCAGTAAAATAATTTATGATTATTGTAACAGTAATAGCTTGGACAAAACTACTCTAGAAGACAAAAGTATACCCCACAAATTTTGAAGGGTTCCCCAAAATATAGCACAGTTGAGGATTACACCTCTATTCTGAAATAGGGAGCTTTCCAGGCTTGTGAGCTCACATATGTTATTAGGTCTGAATCAGAGATAACCAGCCTCAGAAGAGTATCTGTACCATATTTTAAAAGCTATTACTTATGATTTACTTTCCTCATGCTAGTTCATTCATAGATAATATCATTCTACTTCACTCTTAGATGGTGATCTTGAGACGGTTGAAGTAATAAGCCCTGTGTAGGACACCCTTTACTATCAAAACTAAAAAGATCTAAAGGAATGAAATTTCCTATTATAGGATTGCAAGCTTGAACTATGAAAAACATGACTTCATTTAACTTCTGTTTCTACAGAGCAATAGGACATTTACTTAAAGAAGATTATCATGCTTTGACTAGGAATTCTTTCTGCCTTCTCAGTAAATTCTAATATAATTTCTAAAAGGTGTGACTTTTATTAAAGCATTCTAAATTTTTTTCTTCCACTTTTTGCCAAGAACCATTTAGTGCTGAATTTTAAGTTAGATTTTATAAGTTATAACCATAGATCAGGCAAACAGCTATCACATTAAAATTTCTAATAAAATTATGCAGAGTTTTAGAGATAATTGACAAAATGGAAAAGATGGAATAAATTAAGCAGATTAGATCCATTAATGCTATTTAAATGTCTTCTAATGCAATGCATTAGACTATATGACTTCTGATAAAAGATAAATACTGAATCACAAATGAAATATTTTATTCAATTATTTTGATAATTCTTCATAAAAGTTTGTTTGGAAGATAAAACATATATAGGTAATTAAATGCGTAACATACAGGACGCCTGGGTGGCTCAGCGGTTGAGCGTCTGCCTTCGGCTCAGGTCGTGATTCCGGGTCCAGGGCTCAAGTCCTGCATCAGGCTCCTACAAGGAGCCTGCTTCTCTCTCTGCCTGTGTCTCTGCCTTTCTCTGTGTCTCTCATTAATATATAAATAAAATCTTAAAAATAAATAAATGAATGTGTAACATTGGACATGCCAGAACTTTTTGGTTTAATTCTTAATATTCTTTATTGATCTGGGAAAATAATATAGATAGTAGAATTATATAGTAAAATCTTGCCCTTAGAAAGGATTTGGAAATAGGAACTGTTTTTTGTTTGTAAAAGGATTTAGGGCAGCCCGGGTGGCTCAGCGGTTTAGCGCCGCCTTCAGCCCAGGGCGTAATCCTGGAGACCCCAGGATCAGTCCCACGTCAGGCTCCCTGTATGGAGCCTGCTTCTCCCTCTGCCTGTATCTGTGCCTCTCTCTCTCTCTCTCTCTCTCTGTCTTTCATGAATAAATAAATAAAATCTTTTAAAAAAAAGGAAAAAGAAAAAGGATATAATTTTTTAAACAAAGATTTCTGTGAGAAATTTGTGTAGTCTGTGGACCACGTGCTAGCTGAACTTTTTGATTATACCTACATTTACAAATCAAATTCTAGGTTATATGTATAGTGACTCCTAAATGAATGCATCAGTCACATAGGGTATATACTAAGTTATTGGAGTTCTGTTCTGGGTAACCTTTTAACGATGCATTTAAATACACCTGTTACCAGGTTTGATATCAACTTTTAGAAACCTGCACTTCCAGCTCCCAAGTCAGTAATTGCCAATAGTTTACATTAATAAAGTTTGAATTGTAAACTATTGGCAGTATTTATGTCAAAGTTAATGTCAGATAGTAGTGTTTCTAAACCATCATTTTAAAACATCCTTTCAGAAGATCTGACTTTTTTCTCTAGGCCTGCTTTCTCTGTACCTGCTCTATCTGGTATGGTAGCTACTAGCTACATGTGGCTAAATTTAAATTAGTTAAAATTAAATAAAAGCTTAGGATCTGCTCAGCAGTTGTCCTAGCCATATTTTAGGTACTCAGTAGCCACATGTGACCAGTGGCTACTATATTAGCACAGATAAAGAGTATTTCTAGTGTCACAGACAGTTCCTTTAAACAGAAGTTTGAGGCTAGACTTGACATGAGTTATTCTGTTTATTCCAGTATGGTTATCTCATTACTTTTACCTAATCATTTACAGAGGTAAGGATTTGGGGATTTATAATAGCTAAACTAAACGCTGAAATCCCCATTTGCATTTGCACATTGAAATAAGGCACGAAGACCGATTACCACTCCAGTAAACATCCAGTCTACAGGAGATTTAAAAAATAATAATAATAACAAACTGCCTTCCAGATTTGAAACTTTAGGTTTGGGATGTTGTTATTGTTTTCTTTTCTTTTCAAATTTTTCTTTTTTTCTTTCTTTTTTCTCTTTTCTTTTCTTTTCTTTCTTTTCTTTTTTTCTTTTCTTTTCTTTCTTTTCTTTTCTTTTCTTTCTTTTCTTTTCTTTTCTTTTCTTTTCTTTTCTTTTCTTTTCTTTTCTTTTCTTTTCTTTTCTTTTCTTTTCTTTTCTTTTCTTTTCTTTTCTTTTCTTTTCTTTTCTTTTCTTTTCTTTTCTTTTCTTTTCTTTCTTTTCTTTTATCCTGGTGAGCCAGAATAGAATTGGAGAAAAAATTAGAAGCAAGTCATCTTTAGTTTTTGACTCTAAGTGAAATCTTTAATTTCATACTCTGCAAAAGCCAGTGTGCTTATAGGAGAATTTACTAATATAGTACTTAGCGTATCAGCCACTCTTCTTTTATGTATGTTGGCTTTTAACTTAAGTTTTATATCCTCCTTTTAATTCTGCATCTCTTTGTACAATGTTCCTGATGTGTGTTTGTGTGTGTGTGTGTGTATCTATATATCCTTTCAGCTAATACTTTGTCACATTGTTTCTAAAATGAATCTGTTCTAAGCCTATTCATGATTTATAATGGATGCAAAACCCTATAATTTGTACAGTAATGAATCAATATCTTTAAATAACTACTTTCTGCTCTTTAGGAGTAAGGATTTCTCCATAGTTCTCAGAAGAATTCTTAATATTTGCATAAAAATTTTTGCTTGATTGTAAAATATACCCTTTTGCAAGTAATCTGCATCAAGACCAGTGTGCCAATTTCAAATTGTTCTTAGAATTAAAACATTTAGCCACATTAATTGTATACCTCAAATGCTAGAGTCTGAAAATATCCAAAGGTCTAACTCCATATATATAAACAAGTGTCATTTTATTTTGTTGAAATGATAATCCTAAAGGAGTACCTACAGATATCTGAAGGATGTTTCAATGAGTTTTACCAGCTGCCAGAATCACTGTCACAGAGAAGTTATATATACACAGACTTTCTCATCCATAAATGCAGCCATGGCATGCACAGTGAGGATGGAAGCAAGTAAGACAAGAAGGAACAGGATAAAAGGCAGCCAGAGAAAGCCATGATAGGCCAAACTCACTGACCCCCCATATGACATAGCATGGAAGTCAGTTCAGCAAATGCTTTTTGAATGTTCTTTGTGAAAAGGAACATGAAGATGATCAAGACCTGATTTCTTTCCTCCACAATTCTACAAACTAACAAATAATAAACCCTCTTCTAAAGAAACATATTTATTGATATTTCAGAAATGTACCTCATCATATGAAATACTCTCTTCTTTCCTCGCTTTAATCTTATCATTTTACCTAAGTATTATCATGACTAAATAAACACATGGAAGAGTTCTCATAGCCTATTCTGTAAAACAATAGTCTCCTGAATGAAGCACTTTAGACTAGAAAGAGCTCAAGTATTTCTTCTGAAATCTAAAACCTTTTTCATAACATCACTTGATCTTCCTACGTAGACAGTGGACTCAAGAAAGGCATCTTTGATCATAGGATAATCCTCTTTCGGATTTAAGAGAAACCAACACTGACTTTTTAGGTGCAAAAACCAAGCTGTTAAGTGATCTGCTGATCATCACCATTACTAGTCAAAATCCAAGTGACTTCATTCCTTTTGTGTTACATGAGTTTGTATATACATGCTCATTATAAAGGCCACATGTAATGTCCACAAACGTATTTTGAGCAATCTATGGTGTTATCTTTAAAAAAATTATGTGAGCCAATGTGTAATGAATTTTTGGTTTGTTTATATTATAATAATCAAAACACTTTTGTTTGTTAGCCACATACTTCTAGACCTAACAGCCTAATCTATATTCTATCTAGCATTTGTGTCACACCTCCCAATTGTACAGACATTTTTAATTGCATTTCCCTGAAGCCATTCAATGAATATGAATTAAATTTCTGTGTTTAGTAGGCCTTTTTTGTACACTGATTATATTTTCTGAGATCACTGATTTTGGAAGTAGTCCTTATGTTTCATATTGAGGAAGTCAAGGCCAAAAAAGAAAAAAGCTAGACATTAAGTACTAGAAGTTGAGTGTCTTCCCTCGGTTTACACAACAAAATCTATGGCAAAGCTTTGCTACCATACTTTGTAAAGCCAAAGTATCATGGAGATGTTTTTGATATCATGCTCCTATGTTTCTTTATTCCCTTTTGCCAAGTGTTGGCCAAAAAGTTTAAAGACTAGAATAGTACAGTTGGAGAAGGATTTGTGTGTCTTTGAATTTATTTAAATGTAGCTTTAGGACAAGATGGATGTGAATTGAAACAAGAAGCCACTTTTTTCTTATCTGAAAACTATTGAGAAAAATCCATAGATTAGACCTCAGGAATTTCTGACCTCTTAGTCTCTCTTTTCATTCACCAAATAATTTTCCCATCTTAACTCTGTGATTTCTTAAAAACCAACAGTAGTTTTTCCTCTCTTTTATTCAGAAAGTACACCTATACGCACTTCTGATGTTGACTATCGACTCTTAGAGGCATCTAAAGCTGGAGACTTGGAAACTGTGAAGGTAAATCGCTGCTTTTAACCTCTCGGTAGCACTATTGAAACTTTGCTAACCAGTACATTTTAAGCTTCTAAGTAAAACTATTCAAATCCGAACAATAAAAGGGATGAACAAAGTAGATCCATAAACAGGAGAGCTCTTTAACCAGAAAAGATTTTCTAGTATGTGCTTTATATCCATTAAACCACTTTAGTCACTTTCCTTCCGGTTATATGACTCTTTTATATCCACTTATATTAATGAAAGTGTTATTTTTAGCCACATTTGTAAATTTCTAAGCTAGTTCAAGCCCAGGTAATAGTACAATAAAGTTTGGAACAATGTTTCTTCAAGTTTTCTATTAGATTCTCATAATTGCTCTAGAAAAGCATTCTTATAACAGCCTTTATTTGTGATATAGAAACATGCAATTATAAACATTAACATTAAATTATAGATTTATTTTTTTTCAAATATAAAATGATATTCTTATATTGAATATGCTTTTTTAAAACACATACTTCCTATCTGTAATCACCCACGTAGAGGTGAAGATAGAGATAGAGGTTTTATTCTGATTTGGGGATTTGTCTTATAGTTTCTTTCTTCCTTTCTTTCTTCCTTCCTTCCTTTCTTTCTTTCTTTCTTTCTTTTCTTCTTTCTTTCTTTCTTTCTTTGAGGAAGGCTAATTGTCAAATTGGTACTGACAATCATACTAGGTTATTTTTTACAAGCTAAATTTTATTCTTATTAAGCAAACTAGCAAACTGATGTAACATTCTTGCTGATGTATACTGGTTGAAAATGACAGTAAACACTTTCAAGCTCTGTTGCCTAGAAATTCTTTTTTATTTCAGTATGTGGCCACTTCTAACATCTCTTCCATCATGCAAGAACATCTAAAGTTATTTAAAGAAAAATAGTAAATTTCAGTTGTGTAAACTGAGGAGAAATTTTAAAGTTCTCTTAGATCTAAGGCTATGTACTTTTTTTCTTATTGAAATTACATACTTTTCATCATTTGAAATGTATCCCAATAAAAGAAAATCTTTCAATATAAAAGTGGCCAGGACTCCTTTTCTGCATCACAGCATGATAATCTCAGGACTTGCTACATGTGCCTATTATCATTAAATGAGTAGTTTAGTATTTTCTTAATAATGTAATTTTTAATTCCATATGTTTTGTATGTGCTGGTAGGCAAATCTAATACAGCTTTCAGGTTTCCTAAACAATCCATTCACAATAAAAACCAACCTATTTTTATGAATGGAATGGAAGTGGCAGAAGAAAAAGCAAAGCACAAATTAAGTGAGAATTAAGCGTGGTAAATTTCTTTCCCTAGAGACTTCAGAAAGTATTAAAATGTTAGAAATTAGAAGAAAAAGCTGTGTGCCGAGTAAAGGATTTGAAATTATGAAAATCAGGTAGGAAGAATGTAAAAGTGCTTTGGCATTCAAAAGGAAGGTGAAATGGAACGGAGAATAAGGAACTTCCAAATATTAGAAAGCAAATATTTAATAAGCAGAATGGCTTTTATTTTTGTGACCTGGCAAAATGAGCTGTGTTTCATTCCGTACTGCGTCCCTGTTTTGCTGATATTCTCTGCCCCCCCCAAAAAAAGTTAATTTAGAATATAAGCCTGAAGAAAACCTGGCAGCCGCAAGAAGCAGCTTCAATCATGTAAGACACCTATAGAAGGTGTTCACTACCAATTTTTGTGCTCTTTAGTTTTATGTATTAATTTACTCACTTCTGTCTCATTTTGTTTTTTGATTCTATAATTTATGTATTAAGGCAGCCACAGTCTGATTTGTCATGAAAGAATAAGATATTTGACCCAGCCAGATGACAGTGGCTCTTGAGATTAGAGAGTCTGGGGCTTCTCCATATAGAGCTGATGAGCTGAAGCTCTCCCTTATGGCCCAGATTTTCTTCCATCTTGTAATCCTTGTACCACCTGAAAAGTCATGTGTACCCTACCAGTGTGAGGGTCCTACCCAGTAAGTCAGTAGAAACACATGCCTTCCAGGCTCTTAGGTTTTATATAGTAATAGCTCTAGAGTGGCAGGAGCAGCAACAAAATTGTCAAATGCCTGGAAAGCTCTGCTGTCATACCTTGTGGGCTAGAAGATGTCCCTGTTTTCTTGGCTTTTTGACTATTCTTCTTTCCATTCCCTTTCTCTGCATCACTTCCCTGAACGAGGGTAATTAGGAGAGTAAACAAGGATGTAGCAGAAAGATTGAGAGACTATAAATCAGGAAAATCATGTTTGAGCCTTTATTGTACCATGTACCTTACCAACTCTATGAGAAAGGACAAGTTGCTTAGCCCTCCCCAAGCCTTGGTTTCCTTATCTGGAAGATGGAGATAATGATCAACCTCAGAGATAGGAAATTATTCTCTCACTGAAAGAATATGAGATTCTTGATCAGTCATGCATTATTATTCACGTGTTGTTACTAAAATTCATCTGCCACTGCCAGTGGTGCAGCCTGCTGGTTCTTCCTTTGCTTCCCACCCCTCTGTAAGCAGAAAGAATCGAGCCTATGCGGAAAGGCTGGCATTCCCAAGGAGATGAAAGGTGAAACCCTAGAGAATGACTAGACCAGCCTGCCATGTAGAATTAGACAGTCCTCTCCCAAAGATCAGGTGAAGCATTGATGACCGCATGGCTGTGCTATACCGGGTCAGAGGGCAGACTGGATGGCCCAGGCAAAATTAATGTCATTTTTCTGGAGGTGTTTTGCTGACCACGTCAGCAGAGATGAGAATTCTGTGTAGTTCTGCAGTCAGCCAGGTGGTCCTACTTGAGGAAAGCATGGCTAACAGCACGCTAGTACAAGCAGATGTGCTAGGGCCAACAATCTCAGGAAGGAAACCCTGTGAAGATGAAAGATGAAGGCATAATTTGCCTTGAAGATTCTTGCTGTATTCTGGGTTTTTCTTTTTGATTAGGATTTTGGCCAGGAAATGTTTTTTTTTTTTTAAAAAAAAAAAAAAGATTAAATTGCTCTGTAAACACTAAGAATATTTGTAGACACTGTGAAGCCAAGCAGCGTGCTGATTTTTAAACATCACTTGCATTATCTAATCTTTTGAAATAAATATTCATTAGGAAATTACAGCTTATCCAAGATGCCTGCAGTATTTTGGAGCAAAACCTATGAATAAATATTAATGCTCTTTTTGTGTTGTGTGTGTGTGTGTGTATCATTAAAGCAACTTTGCAGCCCTCAAAATGTGAATTGCAGAGATTTGGAGGGCCGGCATTCTACACCCTTACACTTTGCAGCAGGCTATAACCGCGTGTCTGTTGTGGAGTACCTTCTACACCATGGTGCCGATGTCCATGCCAAAGACAAAGGGTATGTGTTAGAATTCAGCTATTGAGGGCTTAACAATTTTTTGGAAATATTTTCGAAGTCTTAGGAATTTTCTTTTACCATTAAAAAAGTAATGAAAACTTAAAGCATCTAAATAGAAACGTACAGTATAGAAAATGAGAATCCCTATTACCGTACCTTCTAGAGATTATAATAACATTTTGTGATAATTCTCCAGATTTTTTTAAAAGTATGAATCAGTGTATATGCGGTTGTGGCAGCAGTGCTTGTTTTTTTTTGTTGTTGTTGTTGTTGTTCTTTTTTAGCAGTGCTTGTTTTTAACATAAATGATGATGCCATTCTGTGCAGCTTAATTTGCTTTTTTTTTTAAAGCATATCTTTTTTTTTTTTTTTTTTTTTTTTAATTTCTGATAGTCACACAGAGAGAGAGAGAGAGGCAGAGACACAGGCAGAGGGAGAAGCAGGCTCCATGCACCGGGAGCCCGATGTGGGATTCGATCCCGGGTCTCCAGGATTGCGCCCTGGGCCAAAGGCAGGCGCCAAACCGCTGCGCCACCCAGGGATCCCTTAATTTGCTTTTTTATCCAGTAGCATATCTTGAATGTCTTTCCATTTTAGTAATTAATTGTTCATCTCATCTTTTTAATGTCTATAACAGTATTTTATTATATTATATGAATGTGTTTATATAGTTTATACTTTATTCTTTGTTCTTTTTCTCTTTTTGCTATTAAAAATATATAATCTCTTCTCAAAGAAGCCATCCATTCCAAAGTCACTGGTATTAATAGACATATAATCTTATTTTTACTAATTCAGTTATGCTATGTTTTTATATTAGTTTACTAAATTATTTTAATTTATCTAGACAAAGTTTAAAGCAGCCATGGCATATTTAGAAATGAGACAAAGATGTTTTAATTGAAATGAGCTTCCATATTCTAAATTAATTTCATATCATCTCAAAATAGAAATAAGCAAGCACTTTTCTGTGCAATTACATACCAGAGTACTGTGGAACTTAAACCATACAATTTAGACTTCAATTAATCATTACGGATTTATTTATCTTTTAAAAGGGACACATCAGACTTGAATATTCAGTAATAATATTACCAGCTCTTTCCAAGTATTAGAGTGCCCTGGAGAGCAACCAGCATTTGTTTCTATTGCCCGTTTTAATTAGCACTTAGTATTTTTGGTCTCAAAACATTAAAAAAGAAAAAAAAACTGATCTCTAAATAAAAAGGCATTTGATACCTTGTTTTTGTCATGTTTTAAATGCAACTTAGACTTATCTTTTTGATTCACCCTTTTTTGGGGGGAACCCCTTTCTATCCTTTTAGAATGCCATCTGCCTTTCAACTGGAGCTTAGAGTTATCTCAGAATAGTTTGTTCATAAGTTGAGGCAGCTAAAATTTTCTCATCTGACTGGAGTTTATGGTTGGTGTCACTGTTTTCCTTACTGAATACTGAAGTTTCTGTATAATTTGCATTTTGAGTTTTCATTGCATGACGCCTAAATATTTAAATCTAGGCATAGAAACCACTACTGAATTATTAGGAATAAAGAAATAAAAACCAAGGACAAAAGGTAGCACTTGCCTAAATTAGTTTATTTAATTAAATTGCATTGTATATTTTATAAGCAAGCAGACAATTTTCATTAGGAAAACTCAAATGGAAAAAAATCTAAACTGATAAAACCAGATTATTGATTAGATTATTCCTGAAATCAGTTTGTAGTGTTGCTCTTTATAATGATGAAACCTGACTTAAACATATTGTGATGGAACTTTTCTGTGGATATATTTGTATGTGTTTTAAGCATAGGATTGCTGTGAAATTTCTATCCATCACCAAGAAACTAGGGAAAATCCTTATGTTGAAAGGGTTGTTTTTGAAATTGTTAATCCTTATTTAGAAATGAAGGATTGTATCTTTAAGACCAGAGGAGAATTCTTTCTTTTGAATTCTTTCTTTTGAATGAGTGTTCATATAGTCACTGCCATAGAAGAATTATATTATTTTTATTATAAGTATCATTTTAACACAAAGGTCTGTTATATGTCTTTAAAATAATTTTATTTTCTTTAGTGGCTTGGTGCCCCTACATAATGCTTGTTCATACGGACACTATGAGGTAGCTGAGCTTTTAGTAAGGCATGGGGCTTCTGTCAATGTGGCGGACTTATGGAAATTTACCCCTCTGCATGAAGCAGCAGCTAAAGGAAAATACGAAATCTGCAAGCTCCTTTTAAAAGTATGTAATTTTAAAAATTATAAAATATAAAGTAATTAAATTTAGTTTTTGCTTGGCATGTAAAAATTACATTGAAGTAAATTATTAAGTACAATAAGTGCTATAGACACTGCTTCCATTTTCTATTTTAGGGGAATATTTAAGTGTGATATCATGATACTTATGTAGCTTTGAGTAGTGTCTGAAGTGCCTTTCTGAACTGATTTGATTAAGTTCAGTTCATTACAATTCATCAAGGTAGGTTTTGGAAAGAGTCGCATTAGTTTGTACTGCTTATCCAATACTTAATGGGATTAATGTCAGAAAACATTGTATGAGGGGAAAAAAGATTTTTAATCAACTTTGATTTTTTTTCTTAGTGGCTATTTTATTATTAACAAACACTTTGCTCATTATTAAACATTGAACATATATATCTTATAAGAGCTTTAACATTGGATTGATATTAAATATAAAATAATCTTTAGACAAAGTTACTCAGATAAATTTGGGGAATATAAATGAAATAGAAACTCGTAATTTTATGAAACTAACTTAACCACTTTTACGGTATCAGATATATCTTTATGAGTCTTGAGAATGGTAATGTATTTAATGTTCATTTTTGTTTTCACTGGGAGGTAAGAAATAACTCCCCTGTCACTGTGAATTCACTGTCTACTTTGATTTATTCCAGATTTCTCCAGTGGGTCACAGCAGTCTGTCAGGCCCATAATAAAAATCTTTGACCTTTATTTCATTTCATAGGTACAGATGATTAAACTTTTAAAATGCAATTAATTGCAAGTATATTTATACCTAATTTCATAGTAGGTGTTAAGACTTAAAATGAAAATAATAAGAAATTAGCAACATTTGTGTTGATAGCATTTATAGATTTAAGTACTTGTCCCACTGGTGTGTCTTCCTCTTCTCACTTCCTTCTCATGATATGCACTGAATATCTTTATGTAATTAAAATCTAGTCAAAAAATTACATGACATGTGCAAAACCAGGAATGAATGAATGAATGAATGAATACATACATAGATACATACATACAGAAATAAATCTTTTCAAAAAGTAAATTGCAGACCATTCTTAAAAGGAAGAGGCTTCGAAAGACAGTTTGGTGACTGAGAAAGTATATGACATGGAAAGTTACAGAACTGATTCACTGTATTGCTAAGTAGAGAATTTACAAAGCAAAGCAGGATATTGCCTCCCCCCCCCAAAAAAAAAATGTATACAGAATCGATATCTTTCCTTGATTAGTGAAGATGAAGTTAAAAATAAGCCTTGAGAAGGATACTAGAGAAAATACAAAGTCCATTTGGTTTTGTTTGTTTGTTGTTTTAGCATGGAGCAGATCCAACCAAAAAGAACAGAGATGGAAATACACCATTAGATCTGGTAAAAGAGGGAGACACAGATATCCAGGACTTGCTGAGAGGAGATGCTGCCTTGCTGGATGCTGCCAAGAAAGGTTGCCTGGCAAGAGTGCAGAAGCTCTGTACCCCAGAGAATATCAACTGCAGAGACACCCAGGGCAGAAACTCAACCCCTCTGCACCTGGCAGGTAAGTGCCACCAGCACTTCCAAGGCTCATTTTCCTTTCCTGGATACCTAATACAGTTTACCAGAAGATGAAAGAAATCCTGAGCAGAAATAGTAAAATGCTTTAGATTGACGTAATTTTGTATAATTTCTTATTGCAAAGGCTCTTAGTTATGTGAGAGCAATATTAGTCTTTAAAGCAAAAAGTATTAAAATTGTGACATTTTCTAGTCATTTATATACATAGATATAAATATAGATATATATTTTTTAATCTGACATGTTTGCCTTTTTCGCTCTAATAGCAGGCTACAATAACCTGGAAGTAGCGGAATATCTTCTAGAACATGGAGCAGACGTTAATGCCCAGGACAAAGGTGGTTTAATTCCTCTTCATAATGCAGCATCCTATGGGGTGAGCATGCTAAAGTTCAAGTCTAGAAAATGTCACTGACATTTATTACTTTATTAAATGCATACTGTGCATGAAGTAAGGAGATAACTAACCAACAGCGTAAGTTAACACAATTTGAATCTTACTATGTAGAGTGTTTCTAGTCTTCCCAGTTAAGTTTAACTATTCTTTGGTCAAGGGCCACACCCTTTATAGTTTTCTGTTCTCTTCAGATGGTCTAACACAGTAATCGGTGTATAACAGCTGCCCATTTAATATTTATTGCTACAGATAATAGATTGTAACTACTCTATCCCAGGTAGATTTCAGAAACTATAAAGCCCGGGAGGCTTTTTATTTGTGGACATGGAAATTATGCTTGCTTTTGTTTATCATCAACATCTTAAAAATACCAAGTAAATGGTTGAGCTGTTGGTATATATGGTTTCATAGAATTTGATTAGCTAGCTAAAGCCCCACAGTGAAAGTCCAGAGCAATTCTCAAAGCACTAGAACTGTAATCATCAGCTAGAAGAGGAAGAGGAGTGCCTTGACGACATTTGTTGAAACTGACAGCCTGGAAGTCACCAAGGCCCACTCATCCCTAAATCACACAGGGTGAATGTTCATGTGTTTGTCTATTTTCACTTAATCCCTGTTTGAGTACAAATACCCACAGATGCTGAATTGTACATACCAGGGGTCCTCACAGTTGGAATCACTGTTGCTGGGGATAGTTTCTGGATTTGCAAAAGCCTAACAAACTATAAGTAAAAGCTTATCATTATGATTCCATATCTCTTACTCTCTTTTCCCTTGCCCTCCAAAGGAATATCCTCCTCTTCTCATAACCCCTCTACAAAAACCAGTGTTTCAGAAAGATGACAATATGAGTGGGAATACTTTTAAAGAAAGCAAACAGTCCTGTTTGAGTTGGACAAACAGGAAATTTCCCAATGTAACAGAAATTACTTAAAAGTTATCAGATTTAGTAAAATATTTTATTAGTACTGAAATCCTCTTGAAACTTCAGTAAAGTTATGTTTCCAAAGATAATTATCTTTTATTAAATTTAGTAGACTTTTTCTTCTAACTCTCCTCCATATACGATGCCCAGTTTCACTGTACAGCATATATTTCCACTGAGGACCAAGCATACTAAATATTTACTGCTAACATGCTATACAGTTATGTATAATTTTTTTACTTCTGTTACAACTGTAAATTTGTATCATTTGGAGGTTAGTGTTCGCTTATTAGCATGTTCCTTCTTTCCGTATTCTATTCCTCTAATCCCTTTGCTAAGAGTTTATGAAGCTGATGGGATCAGTAAAACTTAAAGCAAAATCTTCTAAACTCATATAAATCTATAAAGGAGTAAGGGTCGATGTGGGCTATGGCTCTTGACCTGACCTAGTAGAACTTGCACTACCAGTTGTGCAGACTGGTGGATCTTTGTGATTTTCACTATATTTTACACCTTGTGAAGGTAGATAAATTCTGTCCTGTTAGTCAGCCTTCACAGCTATCACAGAGAGCAGAGAGCACAGGAAGTAAAACTTAATTTTTTTTTTAAGATTTATTTATTCATGAGAGACACAGAGAGAGAGAGTCAGAGACACACACAGGCAGAGGGAGAAGCAGGCTCCCTGCAGGGAGCCCGATATGGGACTCGGTCCCGGGCCTCCAGGATCACACCTTGGGCCGAAGGCAGGCGCTAAACTGCTGAGCGACCCAGGGATCCCCATAAAACTTAATTTAAAAGTAAAGTCTTTTACCTTTTAATTCCCATTTTCCTGATAAGAAAGGCATTGAGATATTACTTATACGTGTGTGTCATTTGGTGACCAGTAAGACAGAAATAAAATGTGCAGTGGTTCTCTCTGGTGGCTAAATAGTACTGTAGTGTGCAGGTTGACCTTGTCTTTATTGCATGTTCCCTTGACGCTACCTCAACCCTTAGCTGATAGGAGGTGCAGTGCAATCAGGGTCCAGACCAGAGGCCCCCTGTTCCATTGCATACTTATTTCACCACGATCTTCTAACTCCGTGTGAGAAAAATAACAGACATTTTTCATTTCATCTCTCTTTTCGTGTTACCATGTTTGTTATCACATCCCTACTCCTAAGCTCTTGGTAAATGAAGGTAATTTATCTAAGTGAAAAGGAACAGAAAATTCTCCAGGCTGCGTAGAGAGCACGTGATAGAAGTTTTGATCAACCTGGTTCATCCCATCCTTCTATTAAGGAATGTTAACAGGCTAGAGAATATGTTGATAGTAGGTATTTTTACCTCATTATGTAAGTGGATTTTTTGAGTCGCTAGAAGTCCTTCTGATATGAAACTTTATAAATTCAAAAATCAAGTATCTAGGACTATTCACTAATAGTCATAAGTGTTACTCACTAAACCCTTTAGTTTTGTGGTTTCTTGACTTTTTTTGTTACCATGGTTTTCCCACGTAAAACATTTCTCTCTCCCCCATGACATCCCTATGACACAGTGATTCCCAGTTGTCAGTAAGATCATCCTCCCCGTTGAGAATCTCTGCTCTAAAAAAATAATTTTATCTAATGCAGTTTGTATACCATATAATCTATTACCAATAACTGAGTCAAATCAGTATTTATCTCAGTCTCAATTAGTAGATTTAAAACAAGTACCAATGTTAACCACGATATAAAAATTTTAAAAGCTATTTTATCTTCAACTGAAGGATAGATATATTTTTATTATCTCTAGATATATAAATCTGTTACCTTTCAAAAATCCCTTTTTATTCATGTTAGAGTAAACCTTGGCTAGATATTTTAATGAAATTGTAGGGCTCTGGCCCACATTTCTCTGTTAAGGTGGCAAAACTCTAGTTATTTTCTGTTTATCCCAGTGATACTTGAACTAGCCTAGCTGCATGGTACATATGATGCACTACCCTGAAATAGCAGTTTTGTGGAGGAGATTTTTGTGGTACTTCATGTGAAATAGAAGCTTCTGGGGTGACTGGGTGACTCAGTAGTTGAGCGTCTACTTTTGGCTCAGGTTGTGATCCTGGGGTCCTGGCCTCAAGTCCTGCCTATGTCTCTGCCTCTCTGTGTGGGACTCTCATGAATAAGTAAATTAAAATCGAAGGAAGGGAAGGGAAGGGAAGGGAAGGGAAGGGAAGGGAAGGGAAGGGAAGGGAAGGGAAGGGAGAAAGGAAAAAGGAAGAAAGAAAGAGAAAGGGAAAGAAAGGAAAGGAAAGGAAAGGAAAGGAAAGGAAAGGAAAGGAAAGGAAAGGAAAGGAAAGGAAGGAAAGGAAAGAAGGAAGGAAGGAAGGAAGGAAGGAAGGAAGGAAGGAAGGAAGGAAGGAAGGAAGAAAGAAAGAAAGAAAGAAAGAAAGAAAGAAAGAAAGAAAGAAAGAAAGAAAGAAAAAGAAAGAGGAGCTTCTAAGTTAAAAATAAAGCAGTTTGCAGAGTAGTTTTGGGTATAGGGTTACCCAGTATCTCTACTTACATGGCTTTTCCCTGATATTATACACTTTGCCATGTTCAACTTTTCAGGAAATGACTCTTGAATATTAGTCCAATAAGACCCCACAGGCAGCTTGATTAATGGAAAGACCTGAACTCAGGATGTGAACATCTGGGATCTTGTCTTAAGGCTTTTACTCCATAACCTGGTAGTCTTCAACAAGTGCCTTAATCTTTCTGATCTGTAATTTTCTCATTAGCAGAACTCAGATGCTGAAATCTTTACAGGGTTGTTGTGATAATTAGATGAGATCATGCATGTGTAAAGTACATTCTCTAGCCTAAGGCACTCTAAAGTCCAAGGTAATGACTATTATTATAACAAGCTCCCCACAGCCATCCTACTGGTCAGAATAAGGACTGGGTGTCACTCTTACATCGTGCAGCCCTGCAAATAATCTGTGTGCTCCACCAGCTCCGTACCAGTGTGAAATAGACACAGATTAACTGACTTTCGTAGTAGGTAATGATTTGTAGCCTGGAGATAAAATAATCACGTGAGGTGTCTGTGAAATTACATAAAGCTACTTAAGCTGTTATTTATTGGTAATTATTCTTTGACTTGCATTTTACCTTTTTTCCTCTGGAGAGCTCAGTCTGCTGTCTGTGTATCTTTGAGCCTTTTTATATGGGAGAACTTGCCATTTCAGTTTTTCTAAGTAGAGAAATAAACACACAGTTTAAGCAGTTTAAATAAAAGTTACAGATTTCATGAGAGTTTCTACTAATGGTAATTAATATACATTGTCTTGTTTAGTGTTTTGTACTATAATGCCTTATATTTTTTAATATACATTTATACAAGACAGTTAATTTTTCTGTTATTCAAAAAAGTAAGACATTGATATTTACCACAAAGCCCATAATTTTCTGTTATCTAATAAATCAGCATGCTGACTTTAATTTTTCAGTGCTTTCTCTAAAATGTATAATAGTGGGATTTCATGACGTCATTGTACAATTAAATGGCTCTAACTGGAGGCCAAGCATGTTTCTCTTCTTATTTTCCAGCTTTCTAGAATTAAATTAGGGCCCCCATAGTCTTTTTATGTAGTATTTGTCCTTTAAAATGTTCTGTTTCATCTGGATTCTGAAACCATGTTAAATTTGACTCTTTCTCCTGGAAACATTCCAGCGGAGTTCAGTTCCTACTCCAGACCTTCCAGTTCAATACTTTATTCTTATAAATGGTATAGAACTGAGCTGTAGCTTATTTATTGTATTGATCAGCTTTAGATTTCAGTCGCTATTTTTGCCCCAATGGTGTAGCTATTTAGAAGACTTGAGAATTGTGTTTTTAGTCTACTTTGGTAGTAATATATTCATTCCTGTTTATTGCTCTTTTGGATGTTTGTCAGCAGATTTAACAAGCATGTAATTGGTTGTTCCAAGCATAAACTATAAATTCAGTATAAAGGAAGTTGAATAACAACATATATACGACTCATTTTGTACACACACACACACACACACACACACACACGTCATTTTCCTTGGACTATCTCATTTTGGAAGCCTATGCAAATTAGTCAACCAAATTATGTTATGTCACCAGTATACATGGGAGTAGAATAAAATTAATCAGAAGCATTGTTTGAATGACTATAACCTTCCTGGAGAAAAGCTTGAAGTTAATCCATACTTTTGGGTTAACTGAACAAAAAAGAGCTGTCCTTTTCAATATATATCCTTTGAATAAGGGAGATAAATTTGGGGGTTTTGTTTTAAGTAATTTGGGCAATACCACAGTTGGTACCTATTTTTATCTTTTGTGTTAGAATCAGTTTTATAATGATGTATCATTCATAATCCAAAAAAGATCACAAAACATAGCTTGTTCTCAAAAGCACTACTATAATTATGTTCCTTTGCTCCTTTTTTCTCCTTATATATTGTCAGAGCAAATGTGAGCTATCCTTAGAAGTTATTTGATTTGTATTTTCCTCATAAATTCTCCTTTTTCCTGAAATTATTTTCCTGAAATTAATAAGTATTGATATTAATTAAAATTAATAAGTATTATATTTTTAAAACTTTCGAGATGAGTGTCTTCGAGAGAGCAAAGACTATCTTACAGAAAATATGAAGAAGCATGCCCTACATCTCATCTTGGGCTATTTCTTTCTACCTTCCCTGTCTCTTCCCATTCTCGTGAAAGCTTCTGATAACTCAGTAAATTGCAGTGAAGCAACAGCGTGAGTTAGAAATTTAGTCTCAGCAGATAAAGTGATCAAGTTATGCCAGGAAACGTATCCATAAAGAACACAAATGTGTCAGTTGCACAAAATTATAGAATATTTTAGAGTTGAAATGAATTTCAAAAACTTTAGTGGTAACCAAAGTAGCATCCCTAAATACATTTATAAGAATAAAGTTATTTTTATTATCCTCAAAAGCCCTGCCGTTGAATCAATATTACTGTTAAATAATTGTCTTAACCTTATTTTATAAGGACTTTGGAAAGAAACTAGCTATAACTGTCAATTCAATATTCTGCTTTACAGTCCCCTCAAGTCCCTGCTCCCAGGGCCAGGCACTTAGTAGGTATTCACCAATATCTGGTTGTTGGGTGCATAGGTAAGAGAGCATAAGTGAGTAAATAAGTAGTGCCCTTATCTGTGCTCCAGTCTTTTGTGTCAAACCATTTACAGAACAGCCTTACTTTGATATTTTACCTCACAAACTACTTACCCAAAGTGTTTCATTCCCACTTAAACTTTTGCTACTTGATTTCTGTTAATGGTACCCCTTTGCTTTTCAATCTTCTAGACAAATTTAGAAAAAAAAGTAATTATCTTTGATTTCTCTGTCTCTTTCTCTGTAGTTAATCTGTCTTTCTAAAACCCAGGGATTTTTTTCCTTCACAATTTCTCGATTTTTAGCTCTTCTTTCCATTCTTCTCTGACCATTAGAGTTCAGCATCTCATCACCTCACACCCAGGTTATTAGTTAACATGTCTGCTACTAACATTTCCTCTACCCTCAAGTCATTTTGGACATGATAGACTGAGTTTTGTAAAATATTGTTTTGTTATGTTACATTACTTTCCCGAGGACTGAAGAGAGAAAGAACATTTAGAATCCTTGCGATGAGTATTTGAATAAATGATCATCAGATTGTGGTAGGTTAGAAGAGAAATAGGAAGATATGAGAAGTGAACAGGAACACTTGTTTGAAAAGTCTGACGGGCAGACTAGACTTTTGATAGACTTGGAGTCAGATAATAGTTTAATTTTATGTATTTGTTTTTCAGATAGACCTGAAAATGTTAGAAGGCTGAATAAAAAATTTTACAAGCCCCGGTGAAGAATTATAGGGTAAAAGAGTAATTGTGGAATTGAGATTTTGGAGGCAAGAAAAGATGGAATCCAAAATACAGGAGTGGGATAAATATGCTTTCTTAATAGAAGAAACTTATGTTAAGGTGTGAATAGAGATACAGAAGGAATGAAATGTTAAATAAAATAAGCATACCTGATGGAGCTTTATCAGATAATCTCATCCTTTGTTTTTCTTCAGCACGTGGATATAGCAGCATTATTGATAAAATACAACACGTGTGTAAATGCAACAGATAAGTGGGCATTTACTCCTCTTCATGAAGCAGCCCAAAAAGGAAGGACACAGTTATGTGCCCTACTCCTAGCACATGGTGCGGATCCAACTATGAAGAACCAAGAAGGTCAGACACCTTTAGATCTGGCAACAGTAAGTCTTCATTCCGAATTATGTAGCATTGCTCTAAGTTTATACTTTCAGAGATGACATTAAATTTCAGGGCTTGGCAGTTTTACCTTTAGCAATACATATTTCACTTAGAATAAGAACAAATTTCCTTCCTTCTGAAATTTTTTTTATTTGCATTTTGTACATAATTCAAAACTCTGTTAAAGCAAACTAAGCAGTGCCTTAACTTAATTCTTTTTGCCATGCTTGACTTGAATGGACAACAGAGAAAAACGTATCTAGAGTGTATCCTCAGAGAATTACTTTAGTAAAATATCTCAGACCTTCTACATTTGGCATATTGTTCAGGTGCAATTGATGTTCATGATCCTTTCCCTGAGGCTATGAGATAGTCAAAGAAAAATTTACCTTCTAGGCAATATGTTATTCTTCTGAAGATGGAAATATAAATTGATGCACACAATAATTTATAATCTTTTAACCAGATATACCTTCCCGAGCCACATTGTTTCATATATCTATTGCCGAGTAACAGATGACTTCAAAAAACTTAGTGGCTTCACCAAAACCGAATGAGTGGCTTAATACAGTGGTCTATTATTTCTCATGGTTCTGTGGGTTGTCTGGACTCAGTGAGGCAGTTCTGTGATGTCTGCACCCACCTTCAGCTGGGGGCTCAGCTGAGGCTGGAGGGTCTGGGGTCACCCCTCATCTTCCAGGGTGTCTCTTCAAGGAGCCCTTCCTCACTCCATAGTCTAACCTGAACTTAACAACATGGAGATGCCTTCCATGAGAGAAGGCGTAAAAGCTGCCAGTCCTTTTAAAGCCTCAGACATCACTCCCTGTACATTCTACTGGTCACTGAAATGTGCCCAGACAGCCCAGATCTAAAGGAAGGGAAGTAGATGCCAGCTCTTGATGGGAAGAGTGGCACACATGTGCACAGAGGAGGGAATTGGTGGCTGTCTGTCTCTGGAGGCTCCCACGTAGTCTCACAGCAGTTATGCCTAACGAACTGTGACAGTGATGAAGAAGCCAGCCAAACTAAAGTGATGTCCTTGTAACATTTCTCCAGATTTTAACTGTACATTAAATTATTAAGTGTGTCTTAAATAACTGAATAAAAATCAGTGTCATTATTTAGGCATATACAAAACATAGTATAAATATGAGAATGCCTTCAAAAGAGATTGAGAATCAACTCTGCAACAGGCTGCTTTTTAAGCAAAAGAGGAAATTTTTTTAAACTCCACTCAAATCTTTATTAACTTATTCTTTAAATACATGTGTAATCAGTATGAACAACCATATGCACGTTTCACTTGGTGTTTAAAAAATATTTCCAGAAATCAAATACAGTCTACATTCTTAGATTTTTTCTTTCATAGTAATTAACTCTTGTATATGTGGGTGTGTATGTAGTGAGAACATTTAAGATCCATTCTCCGCAAATTTCAGATATATAACACAGTATTATTAACTAAAGTTACCAAGTTGTACATTAGATCCTCAAAAGATGAAATATTTGTTTAAAAAAAAAAATGATCTAGGGACTCCTGTTCTAACTCCTACCAAAACTGCTGGGACTCTTTGGAGTTGCAGGTCAGGAAATGAATGATCAAAAACCAGTAGGCAATAGTGAGGCACTCACTAAAGACAAATTTCACAAAGCCTTTGGTCCTTAGTGAAAAACTTACTGTTTTAAATTGTGTTTTTGTGTGTTTTTTGTATTATTTTTAGGCTGATGACATCAGAGCTTTGCTGATAGATGCCATGCCCCCAGAGGCCTTACCTACCTGTTTTAAACCTCAAGCTACTGTAGTGAGTGCCTCTCTGATCTCACCAGCATCCACTCCCTCCTGCCTGTCCGCTGCCAGCAGCATCGATAACCTCACAGGCCCCTTAGCAGAACTGGCCGTAGGAGGAGCATCCAACACAGGGGATGGTGCCGCAGGCACAGAAAGGAAGGAAGGAGAAGGCAAGTACACTGGTGAACTTTGGTTTTTGGTGTGGAGTTTCCTTTGGCTTTTTTTTTTTTTTTTTTTTTTTTTAGTTTTTTAAAGAGAGAGGGCGGGGGGAGGTGCAGGTGGGCTGGAAGAAGGGGCAGAAGGTGAGGGAGAGAGAATCTTAAGCAGGCTCCACGCCCAGTGCAGAGCCTGGTCCTGTGCTCCTGACTGATATCATGACTTGAATGGAAATCAAGAATTGGACGCTCAACTGACTGAGCCACCCAGGCACCCCTCGTTTTTCGTTTTTTAAATGAACACATTTCACTTACTTCTCTTGGTAATTCTCAAACACCCATCTAAAATAAGTTTCCATATATACACCAGTTTGTAGGAGCTGTCTTCATAGAAATAAATAACCTTGACATTGTTCTTACTTACGTATATTCCAATATATCATTTGTAACCATATTTTATTTAACTACTGAATGAGTCTTATTACTGAAAATATATCAGAAAAAAACTGAAAGATCATTTAAGGAATGAAAACTGAAACCAAAGCTGGTAATTTCTATTTTTAATTCCAGCTGTTAAATATTTCACTAAAAGCATTAAACTTTATATTACAGTTAATATAAATGCTACTGATAAGATAAAGATAAACTCTGCTTTCACTTCTCCACCCAATTTGGAGATAACCTGAAGTGTCAGAATTAAGTATATGTATCCTGGATTATTTTTATGGTAGGTAAAGTCATTTACATAGCCACAAGTATGAGAGCCATGGCTTTAAATAAATACTGTAACTTCCTTTAGATTGATATACTGCTTTCTGAAAACTTTAATATATGTCTATTTTAGTTGCGGGTCTTGACATGAATATCAGCCAATTCCTGAAAAGCCTTGGTCTTGAGCACCTTCGGGACATCTTTGAAACGGAACAAGTAAGCTCTCATTTTTCCTGAGTCTTTTAAATTAAATATTACAAGCTATTAATTGTCATTCCTTGTTTCTTTTGCTTTTCTAACTGCTACTTTAAAATTCATATCAAATTTCTAAAGAAGCCAGGAGAATCCAGTACATTATAATTCTCCCCCAAAATTTTCTAAGAAATGATGGGAGTCATTATTATTTCATTATATCTTTTTTTTTTTAATTTTTATTTATTTATGATAGTCACAGAGAGAGAGAGGGAGAGAGGCAGAGACATAGGCAGAGGGAGAAGCTGGCTCCATGCACCAGGAGCCCGACGTGGGATTCGATCCTGGGTCTCCAGGATCACGCCCTGGGCCAAAGGCAGGTGCCAAACCGCTGCGCCACCGAGGGATCCCTCATTATATCTTTATACATGGTTTAACTGCATATGTTTTCTTACATGTCAAAACTTAGGCCACGAAACTATCGCAAAGGAATATTTTAAAAATCTTTGTTTCCACAAAGTATTGGTGTTTATTCATCTCATTACATGCGACTAGACTCTACTTAAAAACAGTGACACAGAGCTCCCTGAGGGGAGCCTGCTTCTCCCTCTGCTTATGTCTCCGCCTCTGTGTGTCTCTCATGAATAAATAAAACCTTTAAAAATTAAAAAACAAAACAAAAAAACAGTGACACATTTTGATATTAGCTCTAAGCAAAATCCTCACAAAGCGATTGCTAAATTTGGAAAGCAGAGTAATTCTTGAACAAGTGCACCTTTTTAAAATTGCCTCTTTATGAAGTTTCTGTTGTCGAGATGTCTAAAATAGCCACATACTCAAAATTTAGCCACATACTCATTCATAGACCTATCCTATTTTCACATACATAAATATGTATGAAGGTCTGAGTATGAAGTCATCATTAGGGCATTTATGAATTAAGACCCTCTATTTGTCATCCTGTTTTTATAGAATAATGACTTTTTAACTTATTACTGATGATTTTTTGACCATGGTCAGTGATCACTATTGAATAATAATAAGTTCCCAAATTTAAATTGACTGTTACTACTATATGTAGAATCTTAAAATGAGTAAGGTATTTAAAGTTATTTTCCCAGAACCTACTCTTTTAACATCCATGTGGGAAGATAAACTATTACATTTTGGGCAGGTGTAATAAAGTGCTTGTAATTTAATGTGTGCTCAAATCTGCCCCCATGTATAGTCTGTTAATCTTATGTTTCCCCTTCACCTGTTGGGCACGGAAATTTAATCTCTAGTCTATTCACGTACTCATTTCATAGGGCTGTTACAACAAATTACCACAAACTTAGTGGCTTAAACAACAGAAATTTATTCCCTCACAGTTCTGGAAGCCTCAAGTTGGAAGTCAAATTGCTGGCATGACTACACTCTCATGCTTCTGCCAGCTTCCAAGCCCCTTTGGCTTATAGCCACATTACTGTAACTTCTGCTTCTGTTGTCACCTTGCCTTCTCTATGTCTTCTGTTCTGTGTCTTTTATAAGGTCACTTGCATTGAATTTAAGGCCTACCCTGTAATCCGAAGTGATCCTCATTTCAAGATCCTTAATTACATATGCAAAGATCTAAGAAAGTTTTCCAGATCAGTCCTTCATAAATTCTAGGGATTAAAACATGGACATATCTTTGATATGGCCACCATTCAGCTCATCACAACATAATATAGCCCTTTGTATATTTCTAAGACCTAATCAACTTATCATGGGCTTACCCTTGCAACCACCCTCTCCTACAGATTTTCTCCTATTTTAGGATAAATATACCCTTTTTCAATTATTCTTTTTATGAACATAGTTTTTAAATTCCTCACTGGCCTCCTTGCCCCATTCTGTTTTCTTCATAGGCTCATAGTCCATTTGGAGTTAATTAAAACACCAGTTCTTTTTCATAGCAGTTACATTGTTAAGATTATCTGTCTTATCTTTTTTTAAGCTGAATTTCTTTATATTGCTTATTGTAGTTATGCTCTTATTGATCAAAACAGTCGAGCAGAAATAGCACTGGACTAAAAGACCTTGATTCTGATTATTTTCTCTCTCTGACTAGCTGTGTAACATTGGATAAGACTTTTAACCTATCACTTTCCTCAACTGTAAAACATAACTTCAAGTGTTCAGGTAGTTAAAATTCCTAGTCCTGCTGTTCTGTGCCAATTTTTGAAATATGCTTTAATGAAGCATCAGATGTGTCTTTGGTGGTGAGGACTTTATAGACTTCTATAATAATCCATTTTTTCCTTTAGCTTCACCCACTATTGATTTACCCTCTGGTTCGGAGATTTCTTATGAGAATATCCTAAACAGTAAGAATGTTTTTCCCTCATTCCCTCCCTGGGTATGAAAGCTGTTGTAAATGCGTTATCTTCTGCTAAAACCAAAGGACATCCCTTAATATATCCCTTCTTCCCAAATCAAATCCACAATAACTGAAATTTCACACATCTTTGCTTATTAACCAATGACCCTAATTCACACAAATTGCTCCAATTGACTGTTGAAAATTTTTCAGAGGATTTCCGTTTCTATTCTTTCACTTTGTTTGCCACATTATTTTATGTTTTATTTTTTTCTCTTTTACTTTATTGTCTCAGTAACTGATTTCCTGTGACATGGTTATCTCATTCTATTGATCGTAATAGTTTAATCATTTAGGCTTGAAGTTGGTGCTTTTGACAACTTCTCCTGTTTCAGTTTTATTGTTATCTCTCTTCACTGTACTTTTGTTCTGAGTAAATGGCTCCATCGATTTTCTTTTTGCCAGAATAATTTCTGTATCCTTTTTTTATTAATATGTTGACTATTCCATTTAATGTATATTGCCCAGCACAGCTCCTTTCCTCCAGACAAATGATACTACTACCTTTTCTTGTATTGAACTGTCTTCTGGCCCAGTTGTCAAGCAATCAGATTAATTTTTACTTTAACTGCAAGTGTTACTTGAGTAGCTTTTAGTTATAGAGTAATAAATTCTGTAACCCTTCCTATAATTTACCCATAGAATTTTCTCCCATTAACATTCTATGTTAGGCTGTAAGTCCATGATTGCTGATGATCAAGATACTTGTGTAGTGAGGGAAGGAGTGGGCATATACATTGTACTCATTTAATTCTTGTCTGTTTCTCCTAAGCCAGGGAGCTGTTCTGTGTACTAAGTTGTATTGATACATAAGATTTAGTGCTCCTATTCCTACTCAAGGATACTCTTCTAGCAATGGAGTGGGGAATATAGTTATTTTATATCTAGTCTCAGGAAAATGCCCTTCAGAGCATCACAGCCTCACCCCTTCACAATTATTCATTCAGCGATCTCTTAACTAATTCAACTTGTTGGCATATATATACTTCACCATACATACCTATGTCCTTTGTAATTCATTGAGTATAGTATGAGTGTCACTTTGGCCCTTCCTTTAAAATGTACCTTCCTGATTAGAACACTTTTTCTATGGGAAAGGCTGATTTGATTTTCACTGCAATTCCTAAACATAAAATGCTATGACTTTTTTGGCCATACTTATGGACAACCTATATATTTTCATGAAAAGTGATCATATAAATTTTTACTTCAAAATCGAAAGACCAAGGAACAGACAGGTAACATTAATTGTGAACATGATTATAAAGTTAGTTCTAACAACTGCTACTCTAGCCTGCATCCTTTGAAGCCCAGGTGAAAGAAGGAGCTTTTTCATTAAAACTCTTAGTTTTTCTCTCCCCATTTAAGTTCTACTTTTTCTCTCTATACCCCAAAGGAAATGAACAAACCTTAGAAACAAAAGGCAACTCTTCATGAAGTGACATTTGCTTTATATGTAAGATGACTTAGCTAATAGAGGAATAATCCTTATTTTAAAGATTATAATGTGATTTTTTAAATTAAAGTATAATTGACCTATACTGTTAGTTTCAGGAGTACATCATAGTGATTTTATATTTTTATACATTACAAAATTATCCCCACAATAAGTCTAGTTACAGCTATTACCATACAAAGTCATTACAATATTATTGACTGTAGTCCCTACAGCATACATTCCATTCCCATGACTTATTTTATAACTGGAAGTTTGTACCTGTTAACCCTCTTCACCTATTTGCCCAACCCCTCAACCCCTACCTCTGCTAATAACCAAGTTTGTTTCTTGTATCTATGAGTCTGTTTCTGTTTCCTGTTTTAGATCCAACACAGAAGTGAAATCATATGGTATTTGTCTTTGTCTGACTTACTTTGCATAATACCTTCTAGGTCCATCCATGTAGTTGTGAATGGCAATATTTCATTCTTTCTCTATGGCTGTGTATGTGGCACACACACAGCACTTCTGTATCCATTCATCTGCCTGGGTTACTTCCATATCTTAGCCATTGTGAATAGTGCTGCAGTGAACACAGGGGCACATGTATCTCTCCAAATTGGTGTTATTGTTTTCTTCAGATAAATACCTAGAAGTGGAATTGCTGGATCCTGTGGCAGTTCTATTTTTAATTTTTGGAGGTCCTCCTGTACTGTGTTCCACAGTGACCGCTCCAGTCTGCATTCCCACCACCAGTGCGCAAGAGTTTCCCTTTGTCCACATCCTCCCCAACACTTGTAATTTTTTCCTTTTTGATAGTAGCCAATCTGACAGGCTTGATCAATTTGATTTTAATGTGTGCTAGATATAAAATAACAAGCCCAAGAAGCTTATAATTTCATGATATAACTGTCATTTTTTTAAGTGAACTAAAGATAATTTTCAAAAAAAAACTATTTCTAATAGCATAAAATGGCTGAATCATGAGCAGTGTATCTAAAATCCACCTAACCTACTTCTAGCTATTTCCATTTCTTCTTTTGATACAATAATCTCATATTCACCAGTTTTCAGACTTTGGAATAATCTCTGTTCCCACCATTCCTTTTTTTTATTCCTTAACCATTTCCATTTACCAGGCCCTGTGTTCTCTCATTTTGAAATTGCTCTCTGATTCTCCCCTCCCACCCCATTCCATCTTTACCTTGTTCACACAGTCCCTTTCCCTTCCTAACCTGCCCTTCCACGTCCTACCATTCTCCTCCTCAAATACAAGTTTGATTGTGTTACTCTGCTGAAAAGGCTCCCTAGGAGCTTTTGGATACTGTCTTAACTTGATGAATAAAGCCCAGTAAGATCTTCTTCAAGCCTGCTGTGCTGCCCATCTCTTCTTCTTTCCTCTCTGTTTCTTATACTTTCACCCTTTTAGACTTCAGTGCTGAGAGTCCCCCAAATGTTCTGTATTCTCTTAATTTTCCTTTTGCACATGCTGTTCCCTTTGTCTTAAACGCCCTTTCCTCCTTCCTCTACTTCTTAGCCAAGTTATTGCCTTCTTCTAAGAACCTTTCCTGACCTCCTTCCATCCTTCCCAGTCCCACCTACTGCCTTGACCAAGTAGGAACCTTCCTAAGAGTTCCCAGGGGGATTCCTCCAAAACATTTACCAATCTTTACCATGTTTTGTGTTTACATTTTATCTCCTTGGTAGAAAAAATAGCATGAACTTTTTTGGTAGTACCTTGTTTGTTCCCTGACCCTGTTTCTTTACTACCAATTTGAACTAGTTGTTTCTGAGCTATAATGGGTAGTTTTAGAAAATACTTAACTAGTTACTTTTTTGGCAGGTATCTAGCATATAGAAGGTATTCATTAAATATACTGTGTATGAATATGAACCAAGTGAACAGTAATCTGAATTCCCTAGCTTACCATTTAAGGTTTTCCAGTGGCCACTGCCTGTTATATATGGAGGAGACAGATCAGGTGCCATGGACTCAAAACAGCTAAATTTAGTGTTTTGTTATTTTAGCTTTCTTGTCAGCCCTTTTAAGAAATATAAGCAAGGGAAAGGCAGGTATGGCGATCCATGTCAGCTCTTCTGTGTACGATTTTTAGGATTCCTTTGAGCCTCAGTTCCTCACGAAGACAACAGTAGTACTTCATGACAGATCTTATAAGGATTCAGTGAGATACTCATTTTATGAATGGAGCCATATAATCAACAATACATTAAACACCCTTTATAGAGAGTACACTATCCTTTGCTGGTCTGGTTTCTGCTTCTTCCAGATATACACTATATGAACAAATTCAGAAAAGCTTAAATTTCCTTTGAATTGAAGCTTCCACATCGATACGAGATCCTGTTTTTACATCAACCTTATTTGAACCAAAGTTTAGAAGGAAAAACCTGGGGCATCAATAATGTTGGAAACCCTGAGCATGGCTTCCTAAGTATATTCAGTTACATGCAGCTAAAAATGTACAGGATCCTATTATGTTGTGAACTATTCTGTCTCAAATATGTATATTTCAGAACCAGTTCTTTTTAAAAGCTCTGATCAAAATTTCCTCTTGGTTATTGGAAGTGAATTGCCCATTTTGTCTGATGGAGCGATTATTTCTTAAATGGCCACTTAAGAGCAATATAGTAAATTATTTTCAAAGAGTGAATGATGTATGCTTGCTGCACCGAGAAGATCAGACCCATTACATAATATTTCATTCTGGCAATAAAAATCACAACTCCAGGCCTAATTTGTCGGGTTGTTTTCTTTTTTAATGTTATGTGCAAGTAAAAAGATAAAGAACATTATAATTATAGATAGATAAAACATCTCTCATTTGAGTTGGAAAAAAGGCTGTCTATAAAAGGATTTCTCAGTTTTCCAAGGAAAAAGAAAACTAAAGACTCTTCTTATAAAGTAGTATTTGCATTGTCACAGGTCCAGCAATTCTTCTGAGCTAGAAAATTGCATGGTCAAGCCCCTGTAGAAATGTGGCGGCCCAAGATTTCATCCGGTGCGTCCAGAACTCTGCCACTAGGTGGTGGTAGAGTCACGGTTACATTTAGTCAACAAAGGAGATGGGTGATTTTGAGTTCTGGTGGTAGCCAACTAACCACCTCCATTCACAGAGATAAATAACCAGAAATTATAAACGACTATTTTTACAACAATAGAATGTGTGTTAGGGTTCAGGAGCTGTTAAATCTAGGAATTTACAAGAGAACTCAAAAACCGTCCTCTCTTTTCCGAGTTGGAATTTTTTATACAGCTACTCTATAAAGTTGTCAGTCATTGAACTCACCACTTTCAAAGGCAGCCTTTTCCATGCATGACTATTTCTTAGCACTGCGGAGTTCTTCTTTATCTTGATCTAACCCCTACTTATCTCAAACTGCTTACTCCTTTTGCCACATTCTGTTTCATTGTGCTACGCCCCTCTCTCTTTCCCCTACCATTCTTCTCTGCTACCTGCTGGGTACTGGGATCTGGTACGACCCCATTTTCAAGCTTCTGGTTATTCGCTCTTGTATCTTGAGGCAAGCAAAAGGTGGTGGAATTAAATAATCAAAAGGAAATAGAGCAGTGTTCATTTTGTATTTTTATAGCATTGTTTCTCCCACTAATTAATTCACTATTGACTAGAAACACAGTATCTCAAGTGAGTAAAAAGCTGATAAAATCATCAAGACAATTTTAAGATTATAAATTCATGGTTAAAAGGAGACAAAAGAAATTTGTCAATTGGGATGGATATTATAGCATTGAAGACAAATGGAAGAACTGAGGAACTGTTAAAGATTTAGCAATTAATTTTGTTCCATTTTTTCAGATTACACTAGATGTACTAGCTGATATGGGCCATGAGGAGTTGAAAGAAATAGGCATCAATGCATATGGACATCGCCATAAATTAATCAAAGGAGTAGAAAGACTATTAGGTGGACAACAAGGTAAGCTATTTGGGGGAAAAAAATAAATTTCAGAAATTAGTGGGACAAGTAAGTTGTCAGGACTGACATAAGAGCTCAAGTGGTTTGAACCCAGAGTTCATAGGCTTGGCTGGTGTAGCACTTCCTGCCTGCCCCCACCCCTCACCCGATACTTTATACAGTGAATCTCTGGAATCTACACTTCTGTCCTTTCCCACTGCTGTCAAATCCAGTATAGGTCACCTAAGCCAGGCCACTGCCATCTCTCCCCTGGACTGTCACAACCATCTAACAACCTCCAGCTTATCTCCGAGCCTCACTTTTGCCTCTCCTCCTACCCCACCCCCATGCCTGCCCTGCACTGCGCACAGAAGACTCTTTGAAATGACTCTATGATCATATCACTCCATTGCTTAAAGCCTTTCAATAGAATCCTGTTGCTTTTAGGATAAAATCAGACATTTGTAACATGGATTTTCATAATCTGGCCTTTCTCTGACCTCATCCTGAACCTTTCTCTGCCGCCACAACTGGCAGCTCAGCCTTTTTTCCACTGTACTTTGCTGTGACAAGCCTGCTATCTTTCCCCCTTGTTAGCCTCCATGTTTATCATTTCTGTGTTCGCTAGAAGTGCTTTCATGATGGGAAAGTAAAGGGAGAGAAAGGGGAAAACTTGAATTAGTCTCTGCAGAGCCAATGAAATTGTGAGAGTGACATGAAACTACATGTTAGCAGCTTTTGAGCTTAAGACTTGCTTATTTATCTGCATTAAATTAACAAATGCAATGAAATTAACAAGAATAATCTATTTTAAACTTACAAGTGACCATTTCAAGCCATCTCACAGAATTTTTATAGGCTAATTCTTAGACCTGACTACATTGTGATTACAGTGTATTTCTCTTTGATATCAGACATAGCTTCATGTATATTTGTGATTGAATTCAGTTCAACAAAAAATGTTGAGCCCTGCTGGGGAACTCTGTAAGAATAGATAAAATTAATCCCCAAATGCCCTCTCCATTACTTCTCTTGTCTTTGGATGTACTTGTTCAGTATAACCTTATATATTAGGGTCACATTGCAGATAATTTGACTTGTTCCAAAATATCAATTATTTATAACAAAGTTTTCCTAAAAACTGAGCCTGAATAGTGTGGACTTTAATATATTATTTTTTCTTTCCTACAGGTACCAATCCTTATTTGACTTTTCACTGTGTTAATCAGGGAACTATTTTGCTGGATCTTGCTCCAGAAGATAAGGAATATCAGTCAGTAGAAGAAGAGGTAATGTACATTAAAATTTTTAATTCTGATGAGATGAGCACTGGGTATTATATTATATATTGGCAAATTGAATTTAAATAACATTTTAAAAAAATAAATTAATTATAAATCCAAAAAAAATTTTTTTTAATTCTTTTTTCCTGAAATCTGTTGTTAAGCCTGTTTTTTTCAAAAGAAGTAAACTTGTCTTACAATGACTTAGGGTCAGTCACCTATCTGTTATTCTGACTCCCTTAGCCATTGTGGTAGCATATTGCCCAAATTCAGATAGGACTATGAATTAGGACTGTGCCACAGTGTTTTCATATCAGAAACCTAGGGTTTCCAATGGATAGGCCACAGGTGTCTTTTCATCCTGGAAACTTTCTTGAAACTACACAAGTAGGAACCTTATTAGAACTATTTTCTAATGTAGTTAAAATGCTACCAAAGAATGACAGGGAGTGAGCATCTTGCCTCACAAAAAGCAAATACCTTCTTGTTTTTATTTTCATGCAGTTATAACATGTGACTATGAAATAATATGCCTAATTTTCCTGTTTCTTTCTGAAATCTGCCTCATAACCCAAGTCACCTTTCATGTCTTCAGTCACTGTTAAAGCACTGTAGTAAGGCTGATGGATGACCCTCCTGCCAGACAGACGCCATAGAAATTCCCTTCCTCCTGCTGGCTCCTGGCTTCATTTCTTAAGCAGAATAAACAAAGTGCCTGATGGCATTACCACAATAAATAAGCTGCCTAACTAATTCCATTATTTTGCAGAGAAAGGCCTGCCTGCCTCTTTTTGTTTATTTTCTGCCTTTTAATTAGAACTCACATTATTCTCATCCTGGGAAGTCAGGACCATTATCTTGGGGTAGCTTTTCAGCTCTTGCCTGGCCAGTCTGTCAGGGAAGTACCTCATCTTCTAGTGGCTTACTGCCTAATCATTCTCTTAGTGATTAGCAAATTTGGATGATAATGCCCAAAATGTGATGAATAACTTCATAAATAGAGCAGTAAGATAGAGAACTCTTTTGAGTCAATACTTTGAGAAACTTGGGTCTTCAAAAAATTTTACCATTGCATAATTATTTTGAATTTGGAGAGCAGATGAAGAATGAGTACTGCTCATAAGAAAGTGTTTCCACTTAGTTATGTGTCATATCCAACTTCACATGGTCTGCAGATACTTATTGAGATCCTGAATTGAAGAGCTAATATTTCACTGAGGGAACAGAAATTTATTGATTTATAAAAATTCTTTGTGTTTTTTGAGCATTTGTTTAATGAGTATTCATCAAACGTGAGGAGTTTTAAGTTTGACTTAATTTGTATTGCTTCTCATTATCAATAACAAAATAGTAATGTAGATGAATTACTGTAATGTTTTATTTCTGTGTCTCCCCATTGTGTTTACAAGAAAATCTTTCAAAGCTTTTACTAGAAAATAAAGAAAAAATGCAGAAAAATATTTATGTCATGACTATTTATTTTCTTATCAGAGATACCCACTAAACTTTGTTGAACAATTTATATAGTCAACTTCTATTTATTAGTGCTGAGTCTGAGACTCATCAGTAAAACATTATAACAGAAGTGAATGTCTTTAGAATGACATACTGGCATATTTTCTGAAAATTATTTTGTTCTATAGATGCAAAGTACAATTCGAGAACACAGAGATGGTGGTAATGCGGGTGGCATCTTCAACAGATACAATGTCATTCGAGTAAGTTTTTAAAAGTTTAGGGTGAAAATTGATTGCAAAGCTTGCCTGAAAAAAATATAGACAATGAAAAATTTTCTCTGAACATCATATTTTTAAACTGTTGAGATAATCAACCATCTGTTGCCTGGCAGTCAGGTGTCACTTTCCTCTAACCCTTCCAGACCATACTTCGCCTGAAACAGAGACTGGGTGGAAACAGAAAAGCTACAGAGGGCTAGATCCGCTGGGGTTGGTGGTACAGATACAATGATGAGACCTAGCTCACCCACAGATTTAGACCAGAGCTGACAGTAATCTTTATCACCACTTCCGAGTAGCATTGAGGGCCTGGATTTTCAATCTGAGTCAGTGATTATATCAGAATGTACATATCTCTTAATCTCAGTATCTTAATTTATAATATGGGGTAGATTTGTTTTTTTAAAGGAGTATCATAAAGATGAATAAAATACGTTGAAAACTAGGTTAACCCTTGGAAGTTATACCAATGCCCATCAGAATTCCCTGGAGAGCTCTTAGAGTGCTTTTAAGAGAATGCAGCTTTACAGGCCCCTGTATCCTAACACTCATCAGGTCTGGGAGGAGTCTAGGAACAGCTTTCTCTTTTCTTTAATTACTCAAGTTATTTTGAGATACAACCAGATCTTGTGCAGAATAACAAAAGCCATAACTGAAAATGTTGTCAATAAAAGCCAGAATGTTAAGTTAGTTACACTGCCCTGACAACTTTATCACTTTTAAATAATGTTTTAAGCAAACAAAACAAAAACTAAGAATTTAACCTTTCTGAAAGAAAACATACTTTTCATTTTATTCTTTACATACTTTTCATTTTAAATTGTAAACTGCCAATTAACATTCATGTCACTAATTTCCTTCTTTCTTCCTTATCCTTAAAGATTCAAAAAGTTGTCAACAAGAAGTTGAGGGAACGATTCTGCCACAGACAAAAGGAAGTGTCTGAGGAGAATCACAACCATCACAACGAACGCATGTTATTTCACGGTGAGTGTCACGGCCATCATTACCTCTCAGGCTTTCGCAAATTTCAATAAAGTGAAAAGCCTATCTTGACTGTACTAGTGTTGTGCTAAAAATGGTTTAATGTTTTTTTTTTTTTTAATTGTGTGTTGGTACCAGTTTGCTAATGCATTGCATGTTAGTACAGCTCTCCAGGGCATGCAGAATGAAAAGAACTTATCTGGAATGGTTTCAGAACTTGTATTGCAAGTTGAGCCATCTAGATAGTGAAATATTTTTATTGTAGTTTAGCATAATTGTTTCAGTTTATCAGGATATCTGTTTTTGTGTAAAGTAAGATTGAGTGTAAAATCTCTATTTTTAAAGTACTTTGCTATCTTTTTTTCCTCCTTTTTTTTTTAGGGGGGTGGTGGAGGTAGAGGTGGAGGGGCAGAGGGATAGAGGGACTCTTAAGCAGGCTCCACACCTATCATACAGCTTGACACAGGGCTTAATCTCACAATCCTGAGATCGTGACCTGAGCCAAAATCAAGAGCCGGAGACTTAACTGAATTGGCCACCCAGGTGCCCCTCACTATACTTTGCTATCTAAAATTTCATGCCGGGGATCCCTGGGTGGATCAGCGGTTTGGCGCCTGCCTTTGGCCCAGGTCGCGATCCTGGAGTCCCAGGATCGAGTCCCACATCAGGCTCTCGGCATAGAGTCTGCTTCTCCCTCCTCCTGTGTCTCTGCCTGCCTCTCTCTCTCTCTCTCTCTCTCTCTCTCTCTCTATCATAAATAAATACATAAATACTAAAAAAAAAAAAAAAACCTTCTTTAAAAAAATAAAATAAATAAAATAAAATAAAATAAAATAAAATCTCATGCCATCTGCAAAATCCATATGGCATTCTTGCTTGGTGAACACTGGGTCTCTACTAAGATTCTAGTACAAGATAATAGTTTATATATGGTGGACCATCATACAACTTCATTTTTGTATTATTAATAACTTAATATTAACCTGCCAAGTGCAAATAGTTTGCAGTTAATTGAGGTTCTAGAGAAGTATTCAAAAACTGATCTTCTTATGTTTCTATTTTTAGGTTCTCCTTTCATTAATGCCATTATTCATAAAGGGTTTGATGAGCGACATGCATATATAGGAGGAATGTTTGGTGCCGGGATTTATTTTGCTGAAAATTCCTCCAAAAGCAACCAATATGTTTATGGGATTGGAGGAGGAACAGGCTGCCCCACACATAAAGATCGGTCATGTTACATATGTCACAGGTGAGCATCTTGCCTTTTGTGATTTCTCTCCTCAGATCATGAATCAAATTAGTTTCTCAGGCTCTGTAGAAGTCACAGGTTATCCTCAGTGTTACTCATAATGAGTCACACAGGTTTGGGATTGGATAGGAATAGTTGATCAGCCTCTGCCCTAAAGGAGAAGTGACAACAGAGCTAATAGCAGTGCTGGTAAAAACCAAATACATGTCAGCCATTCATAGATTATGATGAAACTCCCTCCATCTTGACTTTCTCCCTCAGCTTCTCTTGCCTTGCTTCAGATTCAGAAAAAAAAAAAAAAAAAGGTTGACAATTATTTCTATTGAAGAATCTCTAGCTTGAGACACATTTGAACTAAGACACACAATTTCTATAAACAAATTGAATCTTTAATTTGCTTCTAATGTTGCTAGCAGTGCTTTAAGGCAGGATATATAATTAGCCTTGAAAAGTCCAATTTCAGAATGTTAACTTTGGACTTAATAGTAAGCAAATGAGTATTAGGTTTTTAAATAGAATTTTAAAACTCCAAGAGAATAATGGTATACTTTCTCTGAAGTCAGTGAAAAAAATACTATTCTCTTCCCAGCCATTGGAAAAAATACAAAAGAATTGTACATCAAAGATTGCAGTCAATTGTATTTTTCTTTAAATTAGCCAGATGGGAAGTCAGGTTACTTAGAGATCTTGTAATTCAGAGGAAACCTCAGTAAGACCCAGATAACCTTGAAATTCATTATAGTTGTTGACCATAAAACTTCGTGCTCTACATTACTTTATGAAAAACTTACGGCCATCAGCAATTCTATTTTGGGTGCAGTATGTCCAGAAGGAATGTTCTTTCTATTAAGGCTGCTGTGGTTAATAACACACAAAAGTTTTGCAGGTTACATATCCTGCAAAAACTCTTTGTTGCTGCAAACCTTTCCTAAATAAGCAATACAAGTGAACGTAGGTGAAGATTAACAATTGCCCCCTACATTTAGACATAAAAGTTCAGGTCTTAGCCAGGATTTCCTAGGAAACAGAGCCTGAAGCAAAAGCTTATGTACTAGTGCCTTCTTGGCAAGTGCAGTGTCACGGAAGCAGGAATGGGGGCACAAAAAGAAGTGAGGTGGAGAAAGAAGCAGAGCAAAGACTGAGGTGCATCAGTGAGTTGGCCTATTTCACAAGTGCAGTAGGTTGCTCAGTCCATGAGACAACTTCAGAGAGGCTGTGTGAACGACTGCATCTCGGAGTAGTACATCATGGGAAACCAGAGCAGAATTTATCTGCTGGCTCCTGTCTGGCACTGGTCACCATTTGCCCCACAGGGCATTGGTATCTTGCCGCTTGGGGCTGCTGCATCTGCAGAATACAGCACAATACACAAGGCTAGCCAGTGAGCAAGGAGAAGCCAGTACTCTCCACCTGCCTGCCTGCAGCGCACAGCTTCATGGGCCAGCCCTGCATCTTATCTCCCTGTCTCCAAGCAACATGGAAGTTTGGGGGCAGAAAGCAGAAGGCAGGAGGCAACGGCCTGTCAGATTAAACTCTGTGTGACATATGGACTCGGAGTAGCCATTGCAGTGGGCCCAGTGGCTGAGCGGGCAGGTCCAGTGACACTGTGGTGCTGTCATAATATGGAGACAGAGCTCAGACACCTCCCTCTAATGTAGATTAATTGGGGTACCTGGGTAGCTCGATCAGTTAAGCATCCGACTCTTGATTTCCGCTTACGTCATGATCTCAGGGTCATGAGATCGAGCCCCATGTTGGGCTCCGGGCTGAGCGTGGAGCCTGCTTGAGCTTCTCTACTCCTCCCCATCCCCCACCACTTACTCACATGTGTGCGCCCTCTCTCTGCCTCTCTCTCTTCTGGGACCTATAGAGGAATGCAGCTGATACCAGCCCAGCACCCAGGGCCATCAGTAACGTCATGCTAAAAAAGCCAGCCCAGGCAGGACCCAATTATACTGGGACTGGTACAATTTTAATTCAAAATAATACCTCTGGTAATGCAAAGATCATACTCTATTACTAAAAACAAACTATTTGACTGAATAATAACTATTTTACACATTTAACAGTATGATCGATGTCACTGAGTAGTTAAAATGTTTATAGTTTATATTAAAGGTTTGCAAACTTTTAAAGGGCCTCATAATAAATATTTCAGGCTTTGCAGGCCATATGATCTCTGTCACAGTGACTGGCTCTGCCTTTATAGTGCAGAAGTAGCCAGAGGGCATGTAAATGAATGTGTGGCTATGTTCCAATAAAATATTATTTATAAAAAAAATAAAATAAAATAAAATATTATTTACATAAACAAGAGTAAACCCTATCTTGATTTCATAAGCTCCTGCCATCTGTGTATTTGCTTCAGTCTCCTCCCGTTCATCCTCACAAGAACTCACTTTGTGCTAGTATTTCTCTTTCCCCTCTAGTCAAAACTTGCCAGGTATTTTCTGTCATTGATTTGGTAACCACACCAAAACTACTTTAGATTAACTATTGAGCCTACTGTTTATGGTAAATCAGGATATCAAATCCCATCCCATCCCATCCCTAGTCAAATTTAAAAGGGACATTTTAAATAGCTTGCCTTCTATTAAATATTTTTTGGAAATCAACAAACCTAACCATTCTATCACTCTAAGATTTAATGCTTCCTTCAAAAGCATTGCTTCTGTTTTTTCTTTAGGCAAATGCTTTTCTGTAGAGTGACCCTTGGAAAATCCTTTCTGCAATTCAGCACCATGAAAATGGCTCATGCCCCTCCAGGACATCACTCAGTGATTGGGAGACCAAGTGTGAATGGGCTGGCATATGCTGAATATGTCATCTACAGAGGCGAGCAGGTATGGTACTCATCAAATAAGCATAACCGAGCTACTGAACATGTCAGTGCAGAGAGCAAAGAGCAGCTTCCATTTAATGAATTTTCTTTATGGATGTACTTTGTAACAGGCTGGTCACAGGAGTTGAATCTCTGTATTTCTGATCATGGGACTTAACGTGGAACAATAGCTTTTTGAGTTGTAAAGCTGCAGGACATTAAATTTCTGCCAACTGCTTGAGGTTCTAAAGTAAAATTATCAACAAGTGAGAAAACTTTCCATCATTTTTCAACCCAGTTCTTAACTCTGACAGTAGTCTGCTAAATGCTTATTGATTTATCTAAAAACTAAGATCAGTTTGTCTGAACTTAATTTAGTTTCAAATGGATACCTTAACTACTCTGACCGAGAAGAGGAGGGGAAGGAGAAAGCAGGAATTAACTAAGTACAAGTAATGTATGAAAACGATATTTTATTATATGCCATCAGTCTTGGGCCAGGTAAAGTGTGGAGAAGCAGTAGGAATTACACACAAATCTTGAACTTCATTTAGTAGATGTGTTGATTGTGGTGGTCTGGGCAAAGCAATAACTCCTTTAGGTGTATTGTAGGTTTGAGCAAATGAGTAAATGTGTTGATGTTTGATTTGGAAGCTGGGATTCTCATGGTGGAATAAGGGACGTACAGATATGCAATGGAAGGATGGTAAGAATGTCTGTAGAGATGGACTGAAATTGGGGTTATCAATAGGAGCTCATCATTTCTAACATAAGTATGTATGTTTAAGCACTTGTAAATACAGGTAGGTATAGGTATGTATGTAAGAGTATATGTAGACATGTGTATGCATATAAGCATATATATGTATATGTTTCTTAGCACTGTCTGCTGAAAGCAGGGAAATCCCAATAACAGTGAGCACACCTAGACCAAATCTTGGTCTCTAATACCATTCCCCACTGAAAGGAACCCAGGCTCTTTGGAGAAACAGCTAATTCCAGGGCTGAAGCAGAATGGGCACCAGGTGAACTGGGAACATCCCAAAAATAATGAAGTATTCAAAAAAAGTGGTAGAGGCATGTCACAAGAACACACAGCCAGCAGGACCAGGGTTCCCACTGGCCAATTCTGGAACAGTTTGAATACAAAAATAAATATAGTAATAAATTTTAAACCCCGCTGAAAAAAATAGGAATTCATGATTCTATACTGATAACAAATAGATAAATAAGTAAATAAATAAATGAAAGGGCAAGAAAGGCTTTTGTTTACAGTAGAAAGCCAAGGGCACATGAGAAGATGTGGAAGGAGTACTGGATTTGGAAAAATCATCATCTTGGGACCATTGTGACAATCATAAATGGAAGCTAAATCTAGGAGATAATTTTGATTTTTTTAAAAAAAGATATTTGCATGGTCTTATTAATGACAAAGGGGAAGAAAACAGTATCTATATATTGGAGAAAGGGGGCCATGCCTTGACCAGATGATCAGAATTAACATGACCAATAAAGGACAGATAGACATGGAGTGTGCCTCAGATATGATATTCTGAGAAGGGCACATCATCATCTATGCAATATTCCAGCCAAAAGTGCATAACCTTGGTCTAATCAAAGTGAGAAGTGTTCTGTTTTTAAAAATGTGGGAAGACCGGCTTCTTCAAAAAAGTCAATATAATAAAAGAGAGAGAAAGGCTTTCAAAACTTTCCAGATTAGGGCAGCCCAGGTGGTTCAGTGGTTTAAGTGCCGCCTTCAGCCCAGGGTATGATCCTGGAGACCTGGGATCGAGTCCCACATCTGCTTCCCTGCATGGAGCCTGCTTCTCCTCTGCCTGTGTCTCTGCCTCTCTGTCTCTCATGAATAAATAAATAAAATCTTAAAAAAAAAAACTTTCCAGATTAAATGAAACTCAAAAGACAGGACAACTAACTTAAGGTCCTACCCTCCAGTTGGATCTGGTATCAGAAGAGAAACAACATTATTAAATCAACTGAGAACATTGGAATATGAATGATAGGTACTATATTAGAGTATTATAGCAGCATAAAATTATAATATTGATTCTGTGCTTATGTAAAAGAATATCCCTATTCTTAGGAAATAAATACTGGCATTTTGGGGGATAAAGAACCATGATGATGTATATAACGGTTACTCTTAAATGGTTCAAGAAAAATATGTGCCTGTGTCTGTCTCCCTAGTATAATATATGGAGGTAGGATGAAAGTGTACATGACAAAACAAAAGGGGTAAATAAAAGCTTAACAGTAGACGGATATAGGTAAAGAGTATACAGGTGTTGTGGGTACCATTATAATTTTTGCAACCTAACACATAATTTTGCCATTGTTTCCAAATAAAGAGTTTAAAAACTGCCAAAGAACAAATTTGCTGAAAGTTTTGTTTTAATCAGAAACTTCAGACTTCTAGAACAAATGCTCTGTCTTTGATTCAGGAATTTCACTTTTAGAGATATGTATTCGGTATAATCAGTAATGACCACCAAAAAATCTTTTAAAAACCTGTAAGGATGTTCATCACTGTCTTAATTACTATAATGGAAAATTTAAATAACCTAAATATTCAACAGAGAATGATTAAATAAGTATTAGTATATATATGCCTATGTGTTTTTAAAAATACATTTACATGGTACATGTTAAACACAGAATCAACCCCAACTTAAAAGCAGTTATCCCTGGGTATTGAGATTATAGGTTATTTCATTTTTCTTCACCAGACACTTTTCAAGATTTTGTAAGTTACCTGTGGCATGATCCCTGGATCCGGGATCAAGTCCCACATCAGGCTCCTTGCAGGGAGCCTGCTTCTCCCTCTGCCCTTGTCTCTGCCTCTCTCTCTCTCTCTCTCTCTCTCTCTCTCTCTCTCTGTGTGTGTCTCTCCTGAGTAAATAAATAAAATCTTAAAAAAAAAGTTAGAAAAAAAAACAAAAATAATAATAGGTTTACATTTCTGATATTTGCTGAGCATTCAGTCATTTCCTAAGTAATTTGGCTTGATAACTTGTTTCGGATCTCTTGCTAAAAGAATTTTAGAGAATGATGTGGTCTATCTGAAAGAAAAAAGTTCCTCCAAAATGAAATGCATGTAGTATTTGTTTTACTTCAGGGGAGCACCCTTATTCTTCCCATGTCCAGATACACTTGCCCACATGAATAGTGTCAACTATAATGTCTACTAATTGAGTCATTTTTCTGTGAGCAAATTCTCCTAAAGTTTTGTTGAAGTTTGTTTTGCTAACATAATTCCATTCCTCAGAGTTAAGCCTTAAATCATCCTTCTCCCATAATATTCACACTTTCAAGAACACACAAATGTTTTATTTGGAGGGTTGATTGGAGGAATATTATTCATTATTGGTGAGATTGTTTCTTTCTCTAGAATTGGAAAGATATGTTCAAAATTATGCTTGAAAGAAAAGTGGGTCTTTTTTTTTTTTTTTTAGATGTATTAATTTTGGAGAGAGAGAAAGAGCATGCAATTGGGAGGAGGGGCAGAGGGAGAGAGAGAATCTCAAGCAGACTCCCTGCAATGGGCTTGATCCCACAACCCTGAGATTATGATCTGTGCCAAAATCAAGATTAAGACACTCAACCAACTGAGCCACCCAGGTGCCCCAAAAGAAAAGTGATTCCTCTCTTGCCCTGTTGGTGGGAACGCAAGCTGGTACAGTCACTCTGGAAGACAGTGTGGAGATTCCTCAAGAAGTTAAAAATAGAGCTACCCTATGACCTGGCAATTGCACTACTGGGTATTTACCCCAAAGATACAGATGTAGTGAAACACCGGGACACCTGCACCCCAATGTTCATAGCAGCAATGTCCACGATAGCCAAACTGTGGAAGGAGCCACGATGTCCTTTGACAGATGAATGGATACAGATGTGGTGTGTATGTATGTGTATGTATATGTATATGTGCGTGTGTGTGTATACACACAGTGGAATATTACTCAGCCATCAGAAAGGACAAATACCTATGTTAATTTACGTTAATATGGATGGAATATTTACGTTAATGTGGATGGAACTGGAGGTAATTATGCTGAGTAAAATAAGTCAGTTTTGTCTTTCAACAATTCTATGGTTTCACCCATATGTGGAATATAGGAAGTAGTGAAAAGAACCGAAAGGGAAGTTGCAGGGGTGGGGGAACTGAGTAGGGAAATATTAGAGAGAAAGACAAACCATGAGAGACTCTTCACTCAGAAACAAAGGGTTGCAGAAGGGGAGGTGGGTAGGGGGATGGGGTAACTGGGTGATGGGCATTAAGGAGGGCACATGATGTCATGAGCATTGGGTGTTATACTACATGTTGGCAAATTGAATTTAAATTTAAAAATTAAATAAAAAATGGGTTTTTATTTCAAAAAGACAAGTGGTTTTTATTTAGTATTGGCTGGACGTAAAATGTCAGGAATAATTTTGTAGGTTGTACTTTAGACATAAATTAGACATAAAGGAAAGGTATTCTCTGGTCATTAGTTGTACAGAGATTTAGCCTTAATTTTACTGAAATGATAGGAACAATGCAGTTATTCCAACTGGGGAATAGAAGATTATACAGTAATTTATAGGATGATTTTTTAATATACAAAATTAAGGGATCCCTGGGTGGCGCAGCGGTTTGGCGCCTGCCTTTGGCCCAGGGCGCGATCCTGGAGACCCCAGATCGAATCCCACGTCAGGCTCCCGGTGCATGGAGCCTGCTTCTCCCTCTGCCTGTGTCTCTGCCCCTCTCTCTCTCTGTGACTATCATAAATAAAAGATTAAAAAAAAAAAAATTAAAAAAAAAAAAAAAAAAAACAAAATTAAGAGACCATGATTCTTCTTCATCACTATGAAGAATAAACTGAAAGCATTTGAGTTTAGATGGTAGCAGTAGGGATTTGGGTTAAGAAGAGGTTCCTGGAAGTCAGTTGCCTAGAATTGGTTGTTGAATCTTTTCTTAAAGGAACATTAAAAAAGAAAAAAAATTCTATGCTTTTCTATCCAGCG